TAGTAAATCTGGCACCATGAATACACCTACAGTCAGACACAGAGAATCTTGAACTCACTAAGATTACTGTAGACTTGTACTTGTGGTACTACTCATTGTTCTGATGATGGATCAATGTGTAAAATCCAAGAAAATGTGTTAGAGAACAAGGAAATTATAGATATAACAATCCCAATTGCAAGACTGTGTCATACCAGAGATCTCTGAGGTAGTTCCAAGCAAGATACAGTGCTACAGCACAATATGAAGAAGTATTAACTCAGCCCCTGGGAGCAGTTTTGTCCATTTCATCTGTCTTAATTACTGGGTCTAATAAACACCAACAAAATACTGCCATTTGGCATGGCTGTGGTGCTTTTTAGGCAAGCCTGGAGAGCTCTGCTTTGCCCTTGACAGGTGGATTCTCATACTTAGGAAGCTCAGCCCCTCAGGATGTACAGAGTGTACCTGCTGTTAGCAACATCCTTGTCTGTTATGGTGAGTAAAGAACATTTCTAACTCCCCTCTTCCTCTAATCACAGCAACATGCTATCTTATCTGCCAAAGGAAGGTTTAACTCCAACTGTAGTCTCCTTGACTTTGCCTTCACAGACTCGCTGAGTAGCCATAGAGGACTCTTAATTCCTCAGGTGTCTGAAAAGATAAGCATGGAATACATTTATTGAAAATGTCTGTCAATTCAGAAATGAGGCTGACTAAAAGAAAAAGGTTTTATATTTTGATAGTGATGACATCCTGCATTCTTGTGGATGCTGCCTTCTTGTCCTTTATAAAACCTTAGTCTCACCTTCCCTCACCTCTGTAGCCTCCCTTTAAACCAAGACTATATTCCATCTCAAGGGGAACTTTGTAAATCATAAATCTGGAGTGAAAATAGACTTGAAATCTGCCACCAAATGGTGTGACCTTTCTCTGGGCAACATTAGCCTTTTTGGGTTTTTTCTATGTGTCTCTGTCAACTCCTGGACCTGCCTCTTTTCTTTCAAATCACTTCATCAGTTTCTGTCATAGAAGAAGTATCTGCCAGAAAAACAGGAAAACAGTATCTTCTTAAGCACTGAAGACAACAGCAAACTTGAAAAGCAAACCTACATTAAATGCATACAATGGTAGAATGACTATCTCCTCTTCCTATTTTTATAAGGCCTTTAGAATCTTAGCTCTGCAGGATGGAGACTGTCTGTTGCTGTTATTTACACAGCAGCCAACTAATTTCTCGCCTAATTCTGGTCTTGACTTCTGGCCACTACCAGAATTAGATTATCATAATAACAGCAATTAGGATGTTCTCTTTCTAAAAGACTGGATAGTTTCAGACATTTGATCTGACCTATTCAAAAGTTAGAGATTGGAAAGATCTGAAAAAAAGAAATTTCTGAGGACAAAGAATTAAAAAAAAGATACTTTACAGTTGCATGTCTAATTTCAGCTTATTAGTCTCTCATCATCTTTTAACCTTTGCATCTTCATACTTGTAAAGGATTTCCTGCCATATGAAGAGAGTAACAAATCATATGCAACGTTGGTGAAACTCTCTCTCTGTTCTCATTTTTTGCAGCATAAATATGGAATAATTGGGGGATCAGAAAGTGCAAAAATATTACCATCTAGTAAGATCAGATATCTGTGTAAACTAAATGCCAAACAACAATCTGTATTGTATCATGCAAACCACTGATGCTTCATTGACAGCCTGCAAAGAAGAAAAACACCCCAAAGAGACCAAACCTAATGAAGACAATTCTCAAAGAAAAACAAACATGTAATACCTTTTTGATGCAAAATCTATACATGAAAATAATCCATTTGATGAGAAAAAAAAACAAACTGGTGTGAACTCAATTTGTTAAAGTTTGCATAAAACTTCTAACACCATCCAAAAGCTAAACATTTTAATTAACTTAAATTGGAAGAAAATCTAGAATGAAATTATGAACTCAATACCAGATTTTAGTACAGTTTTGTTTCCAAGGCATGTCAGCTTGGCACAGTGCAGTGCCTGATCTTGGCAGCTGTGCAGACCTGAACTGTGCTTTGGGGTGTCCTTTCCTCCCTCACCAAAAACCCAAGCTGTTCTGTGCCAGTTTAGTGCCTTGGTACTCAGAGACATGGCTTTGCTCTTCCCTAGCCAAAGGCCACTGCCATGGCAGCTGCTCTCCCCTCTGACTTCCCCATGCCACAGCAGCAGCCTCCTTGCTGGAGTGTCCTCCAAGGACCAAGGGAGAAGAGAAGGCAGAGGGTGTGTGGTGCTGGCTGGTGCCTTTCACAGGGCTGCTGAGTTGTTCTACAAGAGGAGGTGGGCAGAGGGCACTGCTGGAGAGCAGCAGATCTGCAGTACACACACCCCCTGAGCAGATCCAGGGGGGATTCAGCTGTACAGGGAGAGGAGAGAACCTGAACAGCCATTCTGAACTGCACTCAGGAAAAAGGGAAAAAGAATGGAAAGTGGATGCTCCAGTGTTTGCTGTCTTGCTATTTCCTGAATTTAAGCTGATGGGTGTGGCTGGACATACTTGTGAATACAAAAAGTGGGTAAAACCAGAAACAGGATCTTGGATGAGCTAATCTAATCTTTTTTATCACATGAGCAATCCTTTTGCAAACAATGCTGGACCAGTTCATTGCTTCTTGATTGGATGCAGAAAGGAATCAACTTCGTAGCACAAAAGATACTGCTTCAGGAGATTAATACTAAATTGGAGTAGGGAAAGATTGCAATCACAGCCCTGGACACTAGGTATGAACAGATGGTAGCCTATGTTAATAACTTGGAAGGCAAGAGTGGCATAGCAGAATGCAATGCATTTTAATGAACTCCATTAAAACCAGGAGGACCAACTGTGAACATATTTAAGAGTTTGCTTCTAATCTTATAGAATTTAAAGAAAAAAATATTATTGCCATCAACAACTGAGGTAAACCCTGTTTGCAGAATATCTATTGAAAGAATTTATAATTCAAATCCCAGCAAAGCTGGGTAGAGGATCAGTATACTGATCTATATTTTTTTACTAGTTTTATTGAGGTTCCTGTTTAGGAATGAAATAATAGAAGGTGAAATTTTGTATATTTATAATAATTTATACTAATTTCAAAATAATAACTTACATTAATTTAATTTTTCTTTATTATTATTTATAGACAGGAACTGTTTCACTAATGATTCTGGGAGCAGTTTAGAATTCCTAATGTCAACAATGGCATTTCCTCTCCTCAGAAAGTCAGTATCCACAGCAACACAGAAATGAGATCACATTCAGGGACTGGTCTGGAATATAAAATGTCAAATGCCTTCTACATCTGTCTCTGCAGAATAAAGATTGATATTAACATTAATATTTATTTTAAAGTCCTGATTCAGTCCAAACATCCACAATTTATATATTGTATAATTAAGTCTTTCTTATGAACTTCTTGTTCTATTCTTTACAACCAAGAAACAAACCACAGCTTGATCTGAAGCTGCCTTTTGAGTGATCAGTGTGCTCTAATGAGCAAATAGAGTGAGTGATATTTTGTGGATTATTTCTTTGCAGTGCAGAATGTTTATAGTTCAATGGCTAAAGCAGTACAAGCTCTGGGTACTTGGATGGATGTCCATGTGCAGAGTATAACTACACCCTCAAGGCCATGAAGTTGTGGCAGTTGGTGACTATTAGAAATCCTCAGTAATCTGTGCTCTGTAAGGGAATCACAACACTGAGTTACTGAGCAGCAGTTTTCTGATAGCTGTTCCTGGCTGACAGCCTCTCCACACAGAAGATTCCCTGATGGAACCAGGAATATGCTTTAATTGAAACCAGTGGCTTTCACTTGGTCTTCACATTTCTCAGCTCTTGGAAGCTTTTGCCTTCACTGATCACTCTTAAAGGATGATCTGCCTGATATCCCTTCTCAAACTTGCACTTCTGATTCACTCTGACATGACGACAGAACAGCACTTTGAAACAATAGCTTGAACATCTCCAACCCACATCTAAGATGTCTCATGTCTTCTGTTGTTTTTGCACATATTTTAATTACCTTCCTTCCTTTCTCCTCTGCTGTGCTTACTGAGGAAGTTCCACATTCAAACAACACAATTAACAAAATAAGTAACACAACAGCAGATAAACAAAACAGCTCTTCCACCAATAGCCAATCTAGCCACTCATCTTTTCTCTTTCTATATCATTATGAAAATCTGCCATATTATCAAAGCACCACCGCACTGATATTATCACATTAGACATTCTGGAGAGAATAATGTAGAAGTGTTTCTTCAGCTATTTGGGTTTTGTAATCTTTTATGCCTGTTGAATTGCTTTTTTTTTTTTTTAAAAATCCAACCTCATGTTTCTTCTCACCATTTTCAGACTTGCTCTGTAGTTAGCAGCAGACCTGACTAAAGACAATGCCAGTTTCATGCAGGTATTTTTACTTGGTTTGCTGCAATAACCACGTTTTATTGTGTGTTTGAAGCCATTAGTTGGAGACAATCTGCTATATAGCAAAAACCCCATATATTTGAACAATGGTTACCCACAATATCTTCAGAGATAAAATGAAACTGCATTTGATTCTGCTGGAACTAGAATGAATACATCCTGCCTTTTGAACACAAAAAGATTTAATTACAAGTGTGTGCTTCCTCCATAATTTCATTCCGCAAATGTTCCTTATGGGCAGGTTAACTATTTTCAGCTAGAAAAATCGGAGTGTCTACAATGGTCTCTAGCAAACACATGTGGGTCTCTTTGGACACTGAATGTTTTTATCAGCTCTAAGAAGCAGCATTTCAGGTCACAATTACTTTGTGTTCTTCTTTCACAGATAACTTCATATTATAGTGAAATGATTTGATTCCTTGTAACCCTTCTTTTTCACTAACTTACAAAGCATCTTAAACAAGCACACCAGAAAGCTCGAATCATACACAGAAATCTGATGCCAGGTATCACTTGCAGTGGAAATCAGTCTTGCTGGACTCACTAGTGTAATTAATAACTTGTTCTAATTACCTTCCAGAGCATATTTCATGTCCTGGGCAAACAGAGTCCACATGATTTCAGCACTGATTTTTCCCATGTTCAGCTCTTGAGGGAACCTGCAATCAATCACATTACATCAGCTCACCAGCTGCTAGGAATGATGCTTACAGATGCACAGCAAAAAGACAAATATTTCCACAAAATAATTCCCCTAGTATGCACTTACGGTATCTTATGTTTTGTAACAATTATATAAACCATCCAATCTTCACAAAAAAATTTCCCTCATATGACATTTTAAATCAAGAAACATCCATCTATCTTGCAGATGATTCCTCAACTTTAGATAAATCAGATGGCTTATGAAGAACATGAAACAGTTGGCTCAGATGTTTAGCAGCCACAGGTTTTCCTTAATTCCCTTCTGACACTGGAAAAGAGTGAAGCTGTCTGTGAAGCTATATTGGTTTATATACTCATAGAATCCAATTCACTGAAGACTTCCACCTTGATGTATGAATAAAATAATAAAGAATATAACAAGCAGTGAAAGGCAGATTCTGATTCAAAATTTTAATTTTGGTCTTATGCTTCATATCATCTTTGAGAAGTCCTTTTTAGATACTTTCTTTCTGCTGTTATCAGTTAAGTACTTTTATGCAAATTTTTCATAGATCCCAGCTGCTTCTTATTCAATGCAAAAGAAAGGCCTCAATCTTTGAGTTACCACTTTCACTGCTAACAACTAGCAAAAGCTGGCATTTTAGTGATCAACATCGTGTTTTTGTCTTAAAAAAAGGGCTGTCTTTAATGCAGGTGTGGAACTGACATTAATATGAGCCATTCTGAGGACACAATAGCAGAGCCAGGCAGGTCAGGCAGAAGAAGAGCAGAGGGTATAACACAGAATCTCCCCATGGGGTAAAGCAGTTGTTTATAGCACAGGGGTGCAGTGAGAGCCACACAAATACACCCACAGTTCACCAGGAACACATAAAATAAGGGAATATATTGATGAGGAAATACACAGAGCTGTGTGGCTTTTGTGTTGAGGATATTACACTATATACTAGCAGAGAATTGGATCCAAAGTATTTTGACCTTTTTGTAAAGCACTAATCAAATTCAGAAAATATTCCATAACAATTTCTGTAAAAATGTAAGAATTTTTAAAGGTCTTGTTGACATAGAAAGAATGAGAATTATGTGCAACTTTAAAGTGGTAGCAGTAGGATCTAAGTAATGTATTCATTTTAGAGACCTATTTGACCCTGATCATATCTGCAAAGAAAAAGTACTTAAACAGCTCATTAGTTCTGCCACTTTAATAGGAAGTAGTTGCTAGCTCAGTTCACTGAGCCCTCTTTATGCTAATGACTGCTCAATTAAAGAACTTCATATTAATTCTATTAACACAAAATTTATTTCTGTTCAAAAGCTGAAATGTATTTCAGCTGTCTTAATTTACTTCCAATCCACTCTGTGTTCTCTGTTAGCACCAGACTTGAACTTTGATGGTGTTGCTCTGAGGAAGTATTTGACAGCTGATTTAATATTGACACTGTCATATTGCAAGGCTGGGCCTGATAAAAATGCACTTGTTTGATTAGTGATAAATAGATTTGTCCATGTATTTTAACTTGTGAAAGCACCTGCACACACAAAAAATGCAACTATCAATGTTGATTAAATTAGTTCAACACATCCCACCTGGCTTCAGTTAGGTGAAGTCTAAAACTGGTGACAGTTTTTATACTTCTAACAGACTGGTGGGCATTGCACAGCTGCCAGTCACAGGCATGAGGGAACTACCAGAGGTGTCCTTGCAGTTTACTGTATGTGAGAAGCTGACAAAGCCAATGCACTGCAGAAGCACATAACACATTCCAATGCTAAAGATAAATGGTAACAGAAGCAGGTGTCTTATTAAAGGGAAGGGATAATCAAAGGTCAAATACTAAAGTATCTATGTATGGTGTTTTGTATTATTTGTATTTTATCACCTTATTTTTAGGTAAGAAAACTTTTTCAAACTACTTCAAATTTTGATCCACAAGGAGCAAAATATCAGAGAAATTTCTCATGCAAGTCTGTACACATTACATTTTCTAATCTTTGTAAAAGCTATGTATTTCTGCCCCATAGGCCATAATTTCCCCAGTTTCTATGTCATTCTTGGAATTATATAAAATCTCAGTTTATCCAGAAGAGTTATGTTCCCCATTCATTACCATATCTATGTATTTCCAAAAATACTAAATTGCATATACAAGACAGCCACTTATGTCTTCACTCTATTGATTTTAATTAAGCAAAAATTTAGTGAAAATAGTTCCCATTGGCTAGTGCTAATCAAGGGCAATATATAAAATCACGGATCAATGGAATGAAATTTAACTCAGCTTAAAAAATTTGAAAGAATCAATGTATAAATGAGACATATATAACCCCCAAAGCATTTATCCCAGACAGTGCTGCATGTCTCTAGTTCAACCCTAAAGTCAGAAAATTTTATCATGACAATTAAAAATGCTTTTTCAAAATTTGTGCTGCCAAATCTCCAGTCTGCTACACCTTGAGAATATCAAAGTCTCTGAACCTCAGATGCACTTTCTCAGAATAGCTCATATTCCATACTTGGTTGCTACAGTTTCATCCAGGTGCTAAATCTCACCAGTCCTAGGGGGTGAACATATTCAGTTCTGTGCTGTGCATGCAGCAAGAAGATAGATCACACCATCTGTGGAGGGCTGGCCATGGCCCCTGCTTCACTAACCCTTAAGACAAAAGTTCTATTTGATTTTGGAAAGGATGTATTCTATTTAAACTGTGAGCAAAGAGGTCATTTATTCTTACATTTTGTGCTCTATCCTCTATCTATCCAAAGCTTTATTTTTAACACTTCTTTCCCTGAAGAAAAAATAATGGGCAAGACAGATGCTGTATATGGTCCATCTAACTAATCTGGTCTGTCAGTGTTAAATTGTTACATGAGAAACTACGGTGGGTATGGTGAAAGGATGAGAAAAGCTTTGTTACAGGATCATATTCACAAATTCAATGAAAGAAATGATATTCATGTGCTTCCACATAATAAAGTGTACTTGGTAATGAGGAATATCACTGCATCAAGACACAAAACACATCAGATATACTTTCTATCATGAAAGAAACATCCTAAACTTGGCCTGATGCCATCCAATTCATGAGAGAGTGTACTCTGATTTTTTCACTTCCTTCTATAGTATTTTTTCCACTGGCCTACTTTTCATATGACATATAGGTTACAATTATGCTGTTTCCACAATATAAGTTACTATCCCCAACTTCTCAGAGGTATAAACATCCTAGCTCCTGAAGCATGAGGAAATCTGCTCCTGCAGATTTCATGTGTTAGTCCTTTCCATACATTCCTTTCCATGGAACACAATGTGGTCACAGAGAAAACAGATCCTAACACTGCAAAGATCTGAGGATCGGTAAAGAATAAATTTAAAAGTCTCATTAGAGCTGTCTTATTTCTTAAATTTATACTACAGTGACAACTTCACTGTTCTATGTGCAAAAAAAAAAAAAAAAGAAAAGAAAAAGTGAAAAAAGGGAAGAGACCTGAAGTTTAGATCTTGGTTTCAAAATACAGAAGCATATTTGACTTGAAGATTTTGTCCTTGATTTGATGTTTCTTTTATTAGAATAGATATTTTATTTCGATAGAAATTTCTCCTGTCTCACAGGATATTTAGAAGTGCCAGGAAGCCCTGGATTTGCCTGTGAATCAAGTTTCTAACACATTGTACATTGTTTAACTATTAGAAAGAGGATTTTATGTTTTTCCCTCAAACTTGTCACATTTCTCATGTCATGTAAGAACTGCAGGTTGCCCCCACCCCACTGGGTGGTCTGGTATGTCTGTCAGTGGCTGCAGTGCTTGCTGAGGCCATCATGTCATGTTTGATCTGGATTCATTACCTGATACAGTTCAAACTACTCCATCACAGTGTAATTTGTGCCTCCAAGGAAGATATAAAAATAGGGTTTCCAAAACTGGCTGAGGAGTACAATTCTGAGCAATATTATACAATTGTGAAAACTTTTATCAGAATGCTCTCCTGGGGATCTTCAGTTACCTAATCTCTAAAATAGGATTCAAATGGATGCAGGCCTGAATACACCACTGAGACACTGCATGGCCATATATTTATAATACGGAGTCATATTTTTGCAGTATTCCTGTGTATTCAAGTTATATTTCCCATTCATCTATTTTAACCCATTTCCTTTTCTGGGGTAAGCAGGGAGGAAGAGGCTGTCTTACTTTTTGTCAACAGTTTTTACATGCTGCTTTTGTGTTAGCAGAAGCTTTTCTTTAAAAAAAAATGCATCCAAAGCAACTCTGAACAGTTTTTCAAGTTTTTTCCACCTAGAGCCTCTTCATCTTTTACTTCTGGTGTCTCCTACTTCTGAAAGACATGTTATTCCCTGTGTTCACTCTTTCACTTACAAAACAACAGCAAAAAACAGACAGAAGTCAGAGACACAAGCTCTCTCCCTTAATCTGTCCCAATTCCGTCCACTCCTGATTCTCTTTTCACATTTTACACAATCATTCATCTGTACTTCAGGGAACCTACTAATCCCCTTAGAGGAACTCTGTTCTTTATGCCTTTACTTTCTCCCTCACATTTGTATAAAAATAGAGCTAGAACAAATTTTACGATAATTAACCCACAATTACACTTGTTTAATTTCAATGAAGAGACTGAAATGAATCACATATATATATTTGTCTCAATTATATATTTTACAATGACTGTATTATTTGTACAGCCTGTCAGACAAAAGGTTGAGCTTTCATTAATGGAGAAACTTGACACTACAACATAAAAATGGAGTAAGCAGGAAAAGCATTTTCTTTCCTCTATAGGGTAAGAACCTATTCCTTAACAAGGTCAGTGCAACAGATAACTGAACAAAGAAATGCTTATTATCCAGTACTGAAGTAATACTCTATTTATTTCAAGTAAAGGAAGGAGTTAGAAGTCAATGAAATATTTTTCAGCTTCTGGTTATCACCAGGAGATTTTTCTGCCACTTTTACCATGGGGCCACAAATAGAATGGTACCTTTTATCAACAGACAAGCACATCTCAGTGTACAGAGTGCCTTTCAGTATCTACACTATTTTGGCTGAAAAAAACAGATTGTTCCTGCTCCCCTTCAGAGCATTCAATTAAATGCAATTGCAGAAACCTATATTAATTGTTTAGTCATAATACAGATGTAGATTTCAATGTTAACTTTTGCAGAAGTCATCACAGCCAGACTATGCCCAGGCTTTCTGCAATCTCTCTGTAAAATGGCTCCAAAGAGCTAAAAAATTTCCCCAGGGCTTCATCACGTCACATTTCAATTGGTGCGAGGCTCATTTCTCCAGCTGTAACATGTGAGACATGTTCCTTTGCACTCTTTCTATATATGTCATGTTCAAACCCCAGCACTGCCTTCTTTTCCTGTGTTTATCAATTGTTTCTCTCCTTTCTACTCATGTATCAACCTTAAGTTATTTGACTTGTCTTGGTTATTGATTGTACCTCCCTCATCTGCTACATCTTCGATTCTGAGAAGTCAAATTCCATCTCTGGGGTACTGCTCTCCACTTCATACACTTTCAAGTCAGTCTGGCCAGCCAATTACAAATTCAGATAAGGTCTTTGTGTGAAGTTCTTTTTTTATTTTTTTATTTTTTTTACAATTACATGCCTAGAAACCATACCTAAAAGACTTTCAACATGACTTGAACACCATGTGTGCCACGATACTCCCATACCATCAATATCATCACACTGAAAATTTCTTTCACTGAAATGTCACTGACATTTCCCTTCTCTTCATTTATCTCTCATGTAGAATATTTTCCTACTTAATGTTTTGAGATGACTCACATATCACCTGTCCTTAATGTTCCTAAACCAGAAGAATTCCTTCCCATTATCAGAGCACTAAGTTTTAGATTATACAGAATGTTGCATTGACAAACTATGTCAATGCAACATTCTGTATAAAAATATCTACCTAGTTTCTATTTAAAATACAACTTCTGATTCAGGTGTATTTCTTGTCCTTTTTTTAATAAATTCATGATTCTTAATCATGAATTTTTAGGGAAAGTAATTACTTACTGGTTCAAGATTGGTGTATATGCTGTTTTATCTTCATCTATAATGGTGACCATCAGAGTAATCAGCTGTGCCCAGAAATCCAAATTCTTTGTTGTTGGTCCCTGCTCTTCTTTAGGAACTTCTTGTTTCTTACTCTGTTAAAACAAGATTGAATATTTTTTATTAGAGAAAATATTATGGGAGTTCCACCTATAGATTATTCCTTGGTTGGGAAGAGTGACATACTAAGAATCTTGAGAAATTTTGGACCAAGACTGGCTAACCAGCAGAGCAGAACATATGAAAAACTTTACTTGGCTGTTCACAAATATAAAGAACCATAGTACAAAGATTGTCATGTCAGCAAAGGAGATCAATAGAGACTTGGTTTTTAGTGCATGCTCACACTGTAATTAGATACATTATTAAATTCTTTGCTGTGCTGAGACTCAGCAAAGGTAGAATTGCCTGTTGAGGCAGAACTTTTATACCCAACACAATAAAGACTGAAAAAATCAATGCTGAGGAGTGTTTAATGTTTTGTTTTTTTTTTTTTTTTTTTTTTTTTTATATGCTGAAGGTATTCAGCCTTACAGCTGCTTATGATGTGTGGTCTAAATGAAGAAGCAGTTGAATTTCCCTTTATTTTATTGAGAATATTATATTCTTTAATTTTACTAAAATGCATTTACAGACAGACTTTGTCTCTACAATTTTTATTTATGAACTCTTAACCTAAAATTTCCTAGGCAAAAGTATTTTGCATTCCTTTGCTTGGCAGAAGGATCAGATTCCTTATCAATGTCCAATAAATAACTTCATTGTAGGGATCCAAATATGAAAAGAAACATTTTTAATTCTGTATGGACACATACATGAATAATTTCTGCCACACAGAGCTATGCCTGCACATGCTAGATCTACACATGCTTTTCTACACTGCTGTGTGAGATTGAAAGGGGTCTCAGTAAGTCAGAAAACAAACATGCCTGTGATCCTGCAAGTTTAAACACATATTCCCTGTACTTCTCATTCCTAGTCCAACTATGAACACTTCAATGGACCTGGTATATTTTTGAAAATGCCTAACACTACATTAGCGTCACAGTGAATTAATTAAATGTTAATTTAACCCCAATTAACTTTTATCTATGAATAGCATTTAGAATGGTAGAAAGGGAATTTCAACAACACCTATTTGAAACCATTTTTGTGGCCACTGTGGAATATTTTAGACAAGTATCATTAATCACACTGCTATATACTCAGATGAACTGCAAAGGGTATCACCTCAGTGTCTAAAGCAAGAAAGAAAGCTCAGAAGCAGGTCAAAGGATGGTGGGTCTGGTGTCACCAACAATTAACAACTGTGCATGCAGGTGACAGTGCTTTTCAAAACAGAAATGAACATTAGAGCATTAATAGCACTCATAAGGGCTTTCCCTGATATACATTATATTTTTACTAAAAAGGCCTTGTTTCTATATCAAAGATGTAGGTCTACCATTTTTTTTTCTCAGAAGCTTGTTAAATCAAACCAACTGAAAGGCAGCTGTAGAAGACAAAGCCACCTCATATGTAGCTCAACATCTTATCCAAGAACTCTATTTCACAGCAAATGACATGTAGCTGAGACAGCTTTTCACGGCTGTGAATGTGAATCACAGAATGCAAAATTTGGTTCTTTAACAGAGATAGCAAAAAGTAACTGATTTGGAAAGTAATAGTTGCACAAGGAAGTCCTTTGTACAAAAATTCTCTGGAAAAGAAATCTCTTTAAAATCTGTATGACCTTTTCAAAAGTCCAAGAGAAGGTATTTTTAAAATAGTCTCACATTACAGATGTAGTTTTATGTCCTGAACAGAAAGTGTATACTCTGTCCATCCCTAGTTGTTACTTCAATTCTTTATCCTAAAATCTACCTAGCGTGTTAGACATGCTCAGAATAATTCAAGCTCTTTTTACCTTATTATTGTCAGCACTATTATTTGCTTTATGTACAACAGAAGACTTTGTAAAAGCATTATAGAATTATGGAATACGCTGAGTTGGAAGGGGCCCACAAGGACCACAGTCCAGCTCTTGGATTCCTGCACGGGGCAATGCCCCAAACCACACTGTGTGTTTGACAGTACTACCCAAGCTCTGGCTTGGAGCAGTGCTGTTATAATGAGGTAAAACAGTGGTGGAAATTTGATTTCAATTTAGATTTATTTTTCACTTTAATTATACCCATTTGAAAGAAACTGTCAGTGTAAAGGCATGAACTAAATAGCTGATATACCTAATTAGAGCCACACTGGAACAAATACAGTGAGAAGATATAGGAGACCCTAAATACTGCTTATTATTGTAGAGGGTGGTAACAATGAGAATTTTTTAAAAGTGCAACTGAAAAGGTCAAGAGGAACATAAATTCTTGATATAGCAAGATGACAAAATGATTAATTAAACTTATGCTATTAGTGGTTCTTAATTTCAAAATAAAGGAGTTTCTGAAGTTTCCTGTCTTCTATTTTTGTTTGATACAGCACTGAACAAGCTCAAATCACAGACTGCTCTTCCAGTAACCAAGAGACCTTCCCAAATACTGATATGAATGAAAGTTTGCCAATCAGCAGAATAACTTTCTTTTCCCTGAGCTTTTTCACATGGGGAAGGTTATTTAAAATATCTTGACTTCCTGTAACATCACTTTGGATGACAATGCTGTCCACATGCACACACAGAACAGTGAAGATGTCCTGTGCCTTAAGATGTCCTGTACTTAAAAGCTCAGTAAGTGACTGGCCAAAGGCACAACAATGATATTCCTAAGGGCTTCTGCTGGCAGATCAAACAAGCAATGAGAGCACATGATTTCTCATCAATAAGACAGGTTTTTATACTCTTATATTAATTGAATTGGGTACTTATTTTCTTTAGGATTGCCCTAGAGCGGTAGCAAACATCTTATAAGAAAAGTGTCTTTATGAAGAAGTCACATTACTACTTAAGATTCACAGATACAGTAAGTACTGGAGATTCTCTGTGGGTTTTTTTAATGCAACATCCAAACTAGATAACTCTGTTTTTTGCCATGGAAGACATCAAAATCAGAAAGAGGAAGTGTGTAAGAGCAATTTTTCATAGGATATGAATCAAAATAAATTATTTGCACCGAATCATGTTTTTCTCAATTCCCTTTTACTGTCAATTTCCTAGTCACCTGAATTCATATGCAAGCAATGGATCATGCAGCACAGAGCCTCGAAATCATTACTGGTGCTTTGATATTCTCTTAAAGAGAAAAATGAAATGTAGAGGGAGTTTTCTGAGTTTAATGGGAAAAAAAAAGGCTAAACTGTTGACAAACAAACATTTTGTACTCTAGAAAAGTGGCTGAGAGTGGAGAAAGCAATCTCAGACCCAGTGTGAAGCAAGATTAAAATCTACATCTCTATTACCCTGAGACAAATCTGTAAAGCCTGGTCTGAGAAACACAGGGCTTTCAACTTCTCCCATCACTGATTTCACCAGATCACAGGATGAATGTCTAGTTTAATTTTCTTTTTTTTTTCTTTTGTTATGTTCTGTGCAATCAATACCCATTATTATCTATGTGTCTTTGATAAATTGAATCCTGTGATATCAGAAAGTTATATATTGCTGTCTGCTGCAAGCCCCAAGCTAGGTTTCAGAATACAATATTTTCTATATAAAAAATGATACAGTGGAAACTCATTGGAAACCAACACAGTAGTCTTGATTAGCACAAGGCTACAGAGGGTAACTTTACAGACCAGTTTTAGATAATGAAATATTAATTTTAACAATTCTTCCATATTTTAAACTGCATATTTATTACTTATATTACATATAACACTATTTAATTTAGAATCACCAGCAAATATACAATAAGCACTATATATAAAATATACACATATGTAGACATCCACATAGTAAGCCTACCTATTTTTAGAATTTTATATAATTTTTAATGATATTTTTAATATCTAAAAGAATGAAAATTTGGCCCTACAGAATTTACTCAAGAGAGCCTAAAGCCAGAAACCATTTGCAGACATGCATTCAAAACCTGTGAGAGATTTCCCTGTGCAGTGCTGTTGCACAGTAACTATCTCCTAAACCATTAACTTATTGAAACTGAAACCCTATTTGAAGAATCATCATAGAATCACAGAATGTTTGGGTTAGAAGTAATGTCAAAGATCATCTTTTTCATTCCTCTTGCTCTGGGCAAGGACAACTTCCACTAGACCATGTTGCTCAAAGTCCCATTCAAACTAGCCTTGAACACTTCCAGGGATGGGGCACCCACACCTTCTCCAGGCAACTTTACTTTATGTATTCTCCAGTACCAACTGAAGTGGAACAGAATTCTTTTGGATTAATTCACATAAAGAATTGTCAACCTTTTTCTTCAAGGACTGGCAGGTGAAAGGAGCTGGTTTAACTGGTCTGTGTTTAGGGCAGTGTAACAGGCGTAGCTCCCCTTCAGTGGCCAGCCAAGTGATACCGTGGTTTTGATCTGACCCACCCCCCCAGACGTGTTCTACTTCTGCAGGGAATAGGTGGAGGAAGACCAAAGTGAGCCCCTCACTTATTGCAAGCTCTTTGACTTTCTAACCAGTGTTCTTAGATAAGCTGCTAAGAAGAAATTATATCTGTAAGATCTGGTCTTCTTCTGACAGAGAATTCTCAGAATGGGGTTGGAAATATCATAGCACAAAATGCATCCTTCTGTTCTGAGGAAATTTACTAAATGTTTTTCTGTTACTGTGGTTGACATGCTGCCTATCAAACACAATGCTGTGACACAAAGAGAGATCTCTAAGTACCCTCTGCATGTCAGATTTGAAGAAGTCAGAACCTTTTCAGTGAGTCTAAAGCAATATGTAAATATAACAAAGGGCCTCACAAGAATTATTACTTGACACTGAAATTTGCACGCCTGAAAAATAGGACTCTGTAGTAAACAGCTTTTGCTACTGCACTTTATTTCCCACTTCATGTTTCTGAATGCGCTTGAAAACCACAGATCACAGTCATGCTTCAATTCTTGAAGTATTTCTATAAGAAATTAATAATCTAACAAAATTTTTTTGTCATTTACACTAAAGAGAAAAAAGTACACCTTCAAAAACAAGTATGAGGCTGGGATTCCCAAATCCCAAATGGAAAAGTGACCAGGGCTCACAACTGAGTAAAGCAAAACTGAGCCAGCTCCCAAAGCACAGGCCATCCATGTGCTCATCCACAGCTCCGACTCCCAGAGCTGGGATGTTTTTAGCTCATTATCAACCCAGCACAAGGTGCTGTACCCCTGTGAGAGATGAATGGCAAGGGCAGAGTACTGTGCTGCTGCAGCTGTACCACCCCTGGCTCCTGAAGGAGTCAATTGTTCTTTGCTACCTCCTGTCTGCACCAAGCTGTGCTGCGACAACATGCAGAGCTGAGACAAGACTCAAGTAAAGGTCTCTAATATCAGGTAGAATATCAGGCCTGTTCTGATGAGCTGCTGTCAAATATAAAGTACTCCAGTGTTTTATTCCAGTATATTGGTGCTATCAGTCATGAAATTATTTGTACTGATCAAGAGCTCTTCAGATAACATGAAGAGTATGGTCTGCATTTCACTGGTGTCACTCAGTGGAGAAGACTGCAAAAAGAATTACTGAAGGGACTTCAGTCACTGTGAGCACCAGCCAGGATTTCAAAATTTGTTTTCTCAAGAAAACAGAAAGAGTGACATATCTGTAAATTGAGTCAGAAAGCTATCAAAGTGCTTCCTAAACTACTTCTCCAGGATGTTTTTTTAACCTAGGATAGCTAAGCACTCAGATAACGATTAATTAAAAAGAGAAAATACTGCATGCCCTGCATAAGGAGCTAGATTGTTCTTCATCAGAGGGCTTTGTCTCCAATAATGAGGACAGCAATATACATGTCAGTAAGACTGTCAAGCTATCATGTTTTACTGTCTGTGGTAGTCATTGGTTTTTTGCCATCAGCTGTTCTTTGTATTCTGGTGTGGAACTGCAGCATGACATTTTTGCATACTGCTAGCATTTGCAATGCTTCACCCCAGGAAATATCCTCAGGGGTGATATTTTGCTGTAAGACATTAGCTTTTTAACGGTGATTTCTGCCTGACACAAAGGTAGAGAGTAATAAAAAGAGAAATTGGAGACTGCTGAGCATATTTTGTGCTTTACTTTTTGTGTTTATTGTGGCAAATATCCAAAAACTCCAGTTCAAGCCCCTCAATTTTAACAGTCATTGCTCTATTTTCACCCCAAAATGAATCAATCCCACACAATCAGACCTGAAGCATATTTTCTCAAAATACTGTGGCAGGCATCTCTGAGGATTTTAGGTTGCAGCCAAAAGCAATTGCAGAAGGTGGTTACCCTGAGTTACACACAGACACACCCTGAGCGTGCAGGGGCCTCAGCAGGACAGCATCTGCCAGTCCTTCCCCTGAGTGAGGGCCGGTGCTGACCTACATAAGAACCATTCCTTGTTGCTGTGGGCTCACTGATCTCAGTTCTCAGTCTCACAGCTCACAGTTCAGCTGTGCAGCAAAAACATGAACCTCCTGTGTGCAGAGCCATGCTAGGATGAACTCCCTCCCTCTGACGGGAGGGGACCTCACCTGGTGGGGAGAGAGCAGAGATAAGGGAAGGGTACTGAAGAAGGCTTAACGGTGGAATCTGGTCTAACCTGAGAGGCTTGGACACAATGCTAATGAAATGTTAATTACAATACTGGTTAATGCTTCATTATTATAACAGTGGTGCCACAAGCCAGTCACCTGAATTGACTGGAAAGCCTCCAGAGCTATAGGTTCAAACAAGCTGCATACTCAAGTGTTCTTAAAACCAAATGCACTTTCGGATATAATGATAGGAAACCATAAGAGGATCATGCTGAACAAAGTCTCCTTGTACAACTCAAGAGCTGATGCAGAATTCAGGTAGTCTTTTGAATTCATTTTACTCATCTCTCTATTAAAGAGAGTTATATTTCTGAGAATTGTGTCCCACCTTCTGGGAAAGAAATTTTTACCGTCTGGCATTAAAATTACATGTGATTGTTGAATTTTTTTAAATGTGATTTGCTGTTAGAAATAAATTGAGTGCAATCCATTTATTTTAAATTTTGCGTTTTACACTTCACTAAAGTTTCTTGCACTGCTTTGTGATTGTAACTGTACAGAAAATTGTCTGCTTAAATTTTCCATATAAAACTGCCCCTGCTGGAAATCTTGTCAACGAGAACTCAAGAGGTGCAGAAATACAGTGAAATGCAGTTAACCTAGTCTTCCACCAGAGTGAATACTTGTGGATTTTTAAAATTTTTTTCAGGACTTCTTATTTCTCCACCATTAAGTAGAGTTGTGTGAGAGTAAAATATAATAACAACACTGCCTGTTCTGCTTCAAATATAATTTGGAGAGAACCCTTACTTAAGCAAGTTTTACATTCTCTACCAAGCAGAAAAGCTGTAATATCTCTGCACTTTAAAACCATATTTTAAAATAGACAGGCTAAATGACTGTATGGATTCACATTAAAAAGTTGCGAATTTTTGAATACAGATAAGCTTTTGCAGTTGTCACAATGCTTTGCAGAGGTAAGACTTCATCACTTGTAGCTGTTTACTGAGGACTAGAATCTACTGATAAACTGCAGGCTTATGTAATACCCAGCCTAGCAGCATTTCATATTATATTTACCAGGCAAGATCAAATTGCTGCAGAGTAAACGTTAGCGAGAAAACAGAACAGTTTATGACGTAAATAGACGTGATGCCTGAAGCTGCTCCTTCCACTAATTTATACTCCTACTCAGCCTACAATGTAATCTGTTGTGGGATAAACACACATCAGCACTAAGTGTGGAGTGCTTATTGGTGCTGGTGAGAATTTCTTACATTCAAAGATATAATTAAGTTTTCTCACACAACAGGAATCCAACGTGAGAAAATAAATTCTCATTTCAGAAATGCTGAATAGCAAATATCACCTTTCCTAAAACACAGGAATTCATATTCTGGATTTAAGTGAAATATCTTTCACTTAATAAATAAACTCAAGTAAATTTTATTAGTATGAGTGTTCATATTAATTATACACACACAAAAAAAGTGCATTCGCCAAAGATCTTAGTTAATTCTGTTCAAGGCTGGAATAGTCACAGAACTACCATTTTTGCAGTGTACCATCCAGAAAGCAAATCTAATGTACAGGTGGTAATATGATAAAGAAGAGATGCTCCTTTAAGACAGTAATTCATTCTAACATTACTTATAGAATGACCATATTACATTAAAAAATAAAAAGTATTCTCAAGGATTTTGCATGATGTTTGGAACAAAACAAATGCTATAATTATTTTGCATTGATAGCTCAACCTGACAGACTAATACTAAGAAATCCTCTGCTTTCTTAAAGCAGTTGCTAAGGCTTGGATCCAAGTATGCATCATACTAAAACATAAGGCTGAAAAGACTATATAATTTTCAGCAAATTACATTTTTTTTCCTAAAGCTACAGAAGTGAAATGTTAGATTTTAAATAACTGTTTTCCTGTTACAGATCTTAAATGAACAATAATCAATAAATCATCTTCCGCAAAACCACTGGACAATTTCACAGTCATGTCCAACTTGATGACTACATTATGGTCATGTGTCCATTTTGCAATTCATGTTAAACATTTTAGAGTTCATAGCTGTCTATGGGTGTTTTTATGGTATGTTGTTCCTCCATGCATAAATAAAATGAAAATCTGAGTGCTTTGATATGAAGGAGCACCAGAAGACTTTCTGTTTACTAAAGGCAAACTAATAATAATGATTGAGGAATAGCACAGAACAAGTTCATTTTGACCTTACCTGATCCACTAATTGGGAGTAGAGATCATAGCAATTGTCAAAAATGTATTTATAAGTTGAATCCAGGCAGGCTTTTACACAGTCTTTTACCACAGTACTGGCTCGAGGGGGACTCTGCAATTCCAGGACCTAATTAAATATTTAATAAATGGAAGAATGTCAGAATTAGATTGAACACAAAAAATCCAAGTGTTGGAGTTCTGTTATACAGGATAAAAAGCGCTCAAGTAAAGCAATGATAAAAATAATTAAAAATATGTTGAATTAAGGTTGATTTAGTTCAAAGATGCATTAAAACACTTGCAGTAAGATTTTATCACTAAGTTTTATTTAAATTAAATATTTATATGATGAAAGAGGCACATGTGCCCAAGAGTTTACATCTTTAAATCTTAGGTTTTACATTTTATCAAGTTTTTTATTATTTAGGAAATATTTAAACTGTAAAATTTGTGCTTTCCTTTGAATGAGAATATCAAGCCAAATAGCAGTTATTTATTTAAAGCAAAGGGTTCATCTTTTTAGTCCATTTCAGGAGACATTAATTTAAACTTTAACTTAATGGATTATTTTAATTCTCTTTATGCAGTTGCCTAATGCAATGAAATCACATGCTAAAGGTTGCTTTGTGTTTTTCTTTTCTCATTCAGTAATATTAATGTGTACCATTCCATTCCAAAAATATTTTCATGCTTGACCACTTAGATCTCAACCTTTGGAGAGACTAAAGCAAACAGTTATCAGATCTATTTTGCTGTTTGACTTGTGATTTTATTATATCAGTAGAAAACCCTTTTTATATATGACTCCTAAGGAGTTCAGCTAAGTATGCTTTATGTGACTTGACTTTAAACTAATTAAAAAGGTAATTTTTTTGTTTATTTCAGGAAATTTATTTGTGCAAGTAAAGGACAATACCTTCATCCGAAAAAAAGTAATGCTGGTAAGCAGATCCACAGTTGATTTCAGATCTTGGAGTCTTTCAGAATTGCTGGCAGGAAAATTATCCTGATGATCAGGGAAAGAGGAATCGTGCAAGATTTGAGTTACAGGTAAAATCCTTGAACAACTAGTTAAATACTCTCAAAGAAAACAAAGTACTGTTTGGAAGGATTAGAGATGTTCACGTTGCCCGAATTCTGCCTGTGAGATAGTTAATGATGAACATCCCTTGGACATCAGTAGGAACACCTTTGATAATGCTCCTGCACTTGTAATATGAATAATTCAAAATATTGTGATATTTCCAAAACATGGATGGAAAAAAAAATTGACAAGAAGTTTGGGAACGGTTGCTACTGAAAATAATTTATGGGTTTTACATGGCTCATACATCATTTCTAGGCATAAATGCAGTTGTAAGCTTAATGTGGAAATAATATATTAAATTTTTGCTATGATCTCTGGGTTAACAGAGTGAAGTGGTGTTACTTAAGTAGCTTCCTACTAATGAAATATCAGCCTCATGCTACGATACTGTCTGGACAGCATTCTTCAAAATGAAAAGATCCTAGCATGAACATATCTCCTTCATGAAGGATATGGTCTTAAAAATGAAGTATGTGCAAGTTCCTTTCTCTCTAATGCCTTGGGGTTCTTTTAAATATTCCCTTTCTCCTCCAGTTTTGGAGAGCAGGCCACATGAACAGACAAATCCTTGACCAGGAGGCTGCCACTCCTAGAAGCTAAAAGGAGAGCCACATGTGATGAAGCCCTGACTTAGACATTGTCCAAAAGTTTCATGATCCAGTGGACTGGAGAAGGAGAGGGAGATCAGAACCAAATGGTAAGTGGCAGGTACCCAGTGCCTGCTTTCCTGAAAGGCTGGTTTTGGAGCACAGCTCAGTGGAAGGAGATTCCATGAGGCAGAAATGAAACTAATTCCTACCAAACAGAAAAACAAGGAGACAACTTTTTCAGCATTACCAGGATCTCAGCGTGCAAGTTGTAGCAAAGATGTCAGGCTCTCAGAAAAAATACAGCAGTAACTGCACTTTGCACTACCTGAGTCAGTGAAGGTAATTCCCAGATGAATTAATTTAATCAACTTAAAACCAGCTATAGACCAATTTAATCAAAGTTGTTGAATACTACTCTTTCTTGAATATGTGATAATCCTTTGACCCTTTCTTAGCTTTTGAAATGAAAATATGAAGTTTTTTCTTTTTGTCAGATTGGAATAATATTGGTGTTAAACAGCTTAAATTCTGTAAAATTTTGTTCCAAAGGATTTGGGGGTCTCATGTTGACTCAGATAGAATATGTTGTACATACCCTGTATTTAGATAAATCAATCCTCAGAGAATTGTGCAATTGATCCAGCAGCTTTATGAACTTTTCTCTCTGTAAAAAGAATACAAGAACATGTTGCACTAGAATTTGCAGGTTCCTGTAATTGTTGAGGGTTTAGAAAGCTTCTTTCCAGTCTTATTTGAAAATCAGTTTGTTTTCCATTATTTCATATACGAGTGATGGTTTGAAACACTGTGTTTCAAGGCTAGGTGATGCACTTCTTTCACTTTATTTTCCCTTTCTGTGTTGCGTACCTGGTATGCATTAAACACTGTGCAGCTGTGAAATACGTTAGGGAGGTCACAAAGATTTTATAATGCAACGTTTTCCTGTCTTATATTTGCCTTGCAACTGACTAAACTCTTGAAGAAACCACCCTCCACTTCCTTTAATAAGTAAGAAATGATGCTCATTTACTACAGAATTTGGTGCAAAGGTATGACTGAAAATTATACTTCTGAAACAGTGGCTTTTGTAGGAATAAATTAAGTAATACTAATACAATGAAATTATATTTTTTCATTTCAAATGTGAAGTTTAACTTGTTATCTTGATAGATGAAGGAGCAGGGAAAGTATTTTGCTGTGAGATTTCCAGCTGAGTTGTGCCATTCTCAGGTAATACTAATGAGTTTCTAATTACCATGTTAGAACATATTCCATAGTCTATTGCACAAAACTGTGAAATCTCAGCCTATGTGAAAACAACAGACTTCTGAAGAAGCAGGAGCTGATAGCTCTCAGGGTGCACTGATTGTATCTGTACCATTCCTCAAATGTGATGATCAGGAATTTGAAAGCAGAGTCTGTGCACTGTCTCTCATCAGTGGTGTTCTAACCTACAACAAACCCCTCCAATTTGGCACAGTTCCCTTAAGGGATCAATCAAAAGAGAACTTTTTTATCATGTTATAAAGCTCTACTGAAATATTCAGTCAGCCAAATCATTCCCAGCTGTAGCCTCAGGACTAGAATTTGAGATGTTCTTTTTGATAAATGATGTGCAGCTATTCACTAACAAATGCCTTTTGACCCAGGAGAGAAGAATAATCTGATATTTTGCCTATAAGTCAATTGTTTGAAAAAAGAGCTCCAAATCTCTTTTAGTGATGCCTACTACTCTTTTTCCATCCATCTGTTGAACTATGAATTGGATTGGAATTGCGTCAGAGGCAAACTGTCATTACCAGCAGAGAAAGGACTTAATCTCTGCCCAGTCTGAGGACAAATGTAGTTCTGATCATTAGAAAAATAGGAAAAAAGGATAAAAATACAGCAAAGCCATTCTAAATTTCAGAAGTTGCATCGAAGTCAAAGGTCGAATAAAGCTTGAACATTGAAAGAGAAGACTTGTTTCCACAAAGATGTTAAGTAATTCTCGGTTTACGCATCCAAATGTATAATTACATAATTTTATCTTGAATATATGAAATTCATAATTCCTCTATTATTCTAATACTGGAGAAAAGTACTAGTGCCTCTAACACTACTTCAAATAAATTTTTTAATTTGAAATTTTAATGAGTATTTAATAAATTTTAATTATGATTAATATTTTATTTCATGTCAATAAATGGTATTTCATGAAAACTGTAACATCAAATATATCTTTGATATTAGCCCTACAAATAAAAGCCTAACTAAAAAAACAGGAAAAGGAAAGAATAAAAGTACCTTTCAGCATAAGATTGTGTTTATACCCTCTGCATCATGCATAATACTAGAGCTATGAAGACAACCTCTTTGAATTACTGCTCTGCCTTACTGCTCTCAGTTCCTCTGAGAGTAGGTGAAGAAATCAGAATAAGGAGTGAATGGACCTTTATTTATTATCATGTTCAAAGACTAGTCCACGCTGTGAGATTCTTATCCACAGAAGAAAATCTAGCAATAACAAAAGAACTATTACCACATACTGAAATGCTACTATTCCTCCTAAAATTCCTGATACCTAAATCCAGGACTTGGGCAATTCACCAGAAAAAATTTCAGCAAAAATAAGAGAAAGTCAGTTATTATGGATCCTTGTGAGAACAGCAGCATTTATGGCTACATCCACTAGGTTAACATGAGTTCACTGATGACACAGCCCAAGAAAGGAATCACATCCAATACGTAGTCTAATGTAGTTAGCAGTTTGCAAGGCCCACTGCAACAAATCAAAAACCTGTTTGTTGGAGATTTTAGTACTGTGAACGTATGCCTGTGCTTTCTACCCTCTACACCTCACAAGGATCTGAACAGCATCTTCTCTGGCTTTTATGATGATTGATTTTAAAGACTCAGGGTAAAATTTTCAAAAGCTAACAACAACCCTTACTCTTTAAAATGAGTAATTAAAAAAATTCAATGTAGAAGTTAATATGTAATATAAATATAGGGGAAAGAAAGGACCAGAACTCTATTAAAAAAGAAAATCTACTTACCCCAAAGTTAGTAGCAGCAAAGCGATCTGAGGCAGATACATTAGTTGCTGCTGTGGTGTGAGCATAGAAAGCATTTATATTGGCCAACAATGTACTCATAACTGCTGGAACACCAGGGCACATGTATTTAGAAGAGAGACAGGAAAAGTGCCTGAAATTCAAACAAACCAACAGTTATTAAAGATGGCAGGGAACCTGCTTCTTCTCCCTTTATAATTTCTTTCTAACTCCAATGATGTAACTTTCAGGCTACCTCCTGAAAATTGTACAGATGTATATGAGGAAAATCCAGACATGTTTGGTACAGTTACCACTTGTTGTGCACGGATATTTTCAAACTGGCCACATTAGATTCACATTCAGTTCTTACTCTGTTAATCCTAAACACAAAAACATGACTTAACTATTTAAATTGCTATTAAACAAAACATTCATTATTAAAGAAAACCTAAAAAGCAAAATCTAACTCGCCATCATGAAAAGTCAAAGAGATCTATAGTAGAAAAAGATTTAATTGTTGCCAACTAAAAGACTCAAACCAGCATTTTAGTGTGGCTTTTATTTTACCCTACATTATTAATGAAAGGTGCTTCAAGCACTTTCTGGGTTCGCCTTGATTTGAATTAGGCCATAACTGAAACTCTTCCACTTTGACTCAGGCCAGTAAAATTTAGGTAATCAGTCTGTTAAACTCGAAGCAGCCAAAACTAGAGGTGCAATATAGCAGCACTGTTTACTTGTTTAATGAAACAGGAGATGCCTGCTGGAAGCATACAAAGAGCTTATAACACAACAAAACATGAGAAGTACAAATGAATGAAAGATCTGACACATGAGGAGGGTGAACATCATCATTGCAAACACAAATTCCTAATTTTAAGAACTATAATTAGGCAGGATTGAGAGAGGGAAAGGGCTAAAGACTAAATGTACACAAATAGGAAAGAGAATGAGGGGGATTAGGAAAAGATGGTGGTAAAAATGGGCGTACAAAGAGAAGAAGATTAAGAAATTCCAATCAGGCTCTGTATGACTGAAGGTCCTGATTTGGCCACATGCTCCTCTTAGCTGGAGACTCTGGCTCCTCTCTCCTGTTCCTCCTCAGGAGCATAAGGCAGAGCAGTGTGCTGGGCCTGAACCACCTGAGCACTAGTGCCCTTCCAAGAAAAAAATTAACACAAAGTACAATTGAACTCTCCTGCTGAACTTAAGCCAAATACCCTTAATTAGTGTCACTGCCCAAATCACCTTTCAAGGCATTATTCAAGATTATTTTCCTGTGGGGGCAATTATTAAATGCTATTATCTGCATTTTACATAACTGAGAGAAACTGCTCAAAACTACACAGAAACTAAGCACATGGGCCAGGACTAGAGCTGAGCATTCCCAGCTATGTGCTCATGGAATAGTGTTACCAAACCTTTAATTCATTGCCAGTATTTTCAAGAAGTGCATTTGAAGACTGAAATGTGAATTCAACAAAAGATAAAGCCAGTTCTCTACCCCTCAGAAAAATCTTTCAAAACATATGTCACATGTTTTCTGTCAGGTAGAAGAATAGTACTTTCTTTTGTAATAAAATAAAATAACGATGTCAGGTGGTTCTCATCAATAAAGGTAACATTTAAAGCTAATAAAAATATCTCCTTATCCACGAGTAAGTTTGGGAAATATACATAGGGATGATCAGAACCAATTATCAAAATTTGATAAAATAATTAATACTTTTAATACCGATGAACTTTAATTTCCAAAAGTAGTGCAAATTTTAGTGGACTTAAAGGTCCTTAGTGCATGAGTAACATCAATCTGGAGATACAAAGGCACTAATAACCCCAGTGGCCTTAGAGTCATACATGTAACACATGCTCTGCTGAGGGAGGAGGCAGGCAAAAGGAGCAGTCAGCAGCAAAGCAATCACTGAGATTGTCTCAATTGCCTTCAGGGAACATGACAGACCATGGAAATATTGTTTGGTCAACATTTTAAGGTGTCTTCTGCAGGTTCCCTTAACAATTTCACAATGAGCTACCCATGACCTGTACTGAATTCTTATATTGAGAATAGACCCTAACTGTACCAATTTTTCACAAGGAAAATTTAAAGCAATTGCTGTAATTTATGTCCTTATTGTATCACTGCACCCTGTCACCTGTAATGTGCTTAGCGAAAATTATGATAAAGCATGTGTGACACATTTTTGTTTCTCTCCATAATTTAATTAAAATCTGTAATGTTCACAGGACCTATTAAGTACACAATATGGGTCATCACTCAGAGTGCTGATAACTCAGGTTATCAGCTACCTACAAGATACCTGGATTCCTTCTGCTTGCTAAAATGAATAAATCAAAGTAAACCCCTGTCCTTGTTTTTGCAGGTCTTTGAAAACAGCAGCCAGTAGCATGAGTTATTAACAATTTCTAGTGGGCACATGAGGTCACAGCAACCATTGCTAAGTCTCACACATTTTAGAGTAAGGTTGCACTGCATAAGCTGAAACCAGGCCTGCTTGCTCCAGCTTTTTTACTATGCAATTTTCTGATCAATAGACAGTGCCAGGGATTCTTCTAATATTTCTGCTAGCATGAGTTAGTGAAGAAAGGAGTCTAATTGATGTGCTGTACTCATCAGTAAGCAAATGCTATCAATAAAAAATTAGTTTAATGGGCAATTTGTGTGCTTTCTGTAATGCTGCCACATTAATTGAAAACTAGCAGGAGAACAAGATGACATAGTTAGTGCCCATTAACCTGCTTGAATGAGAGCTATGTTGCTGATTGAGAATCATTAGGTTCTACCTGTGGTGACTCTTGCCAGTAAGAAGTAAAGATCTTAATAGAGCTTTTATTGCACTTGACTCTATTACACAGTAAATTCAGGCTGGTGATATTATGTGTAATTTCAGTGTCTAGTCAAACACTGTCTCAATACATGCTCAGATTTTTGCCTTCTAAAGAGAAGTAAATTATGTTGAAAGATGAATGACAGGAAAAATTTTACTTTTTCTTTACTGCAGAGTGTGGCTTAATATACATAGGTAAATAAAGTTCCAGTATGATTCCTTCTAGACGCTGTATTTACAGCATAAACTGCCATCAATCCCCACAGTAATCAAAATAAAGGCCAACTGGATCACTGTGCATTTTTTCCACTTTTTCTTCCTGCTTTTTGTGATATTTATTTTCCTCCCTATTGTCCCACACATCCATGCTTGTACTTCTGGGAATTACACATACCAGTTGTGTGGCTAATAGTGTTGGTCTGGCTGCTATCCATCAAAAAACCAAAAAAAATTTCTCATCTGAACCATGTAAGAATGGCTGTAATGGTCTTGCTTTTCTTTTCCCAGTACAGACTCCATGAGGAATGGAAGTATAAAATAGTCATAAGAAAGAAGAGTGGATTATGTAACCTATACATTCAAGATTTCAAAGAGCTGCATTTGCTGCAACAAAATCAGTATTTTTGTTGTATTTTACTTTGGGTTGATGGCTGTTTTTCTATTCACGTGAATTCCACATTTGGTAACTTAAAGCAGATTTCCTTGCTCAGGAACTGTGCAGTCATAATCCGTATCTCGAGAGTAAAACACCCCTTCTAAGTCAGCATCTTTAGCAAAAAGGTGTCTACATTTATCTCATAAAAATGTGGAGATGTTCCTGTCTCCAGCAAGAGATGCAACCACACCTGAATTCATTATATTTCTAAGTTTGGTGAGAAAGGTCTCAACGGGGACAATGACTAGAGCAGACGGGTAACCTGTGTGATATCTCCTGGTCTGATTCCCACATTTCAGTACGAGTACAGTCACTGTATTTAGAAAATCAAGACTAAATATTTGAAATATTATTTCTGTGCTCTAAAGGAATAGATATAAATGATTATTGAGGGCCAGAAGGAAATCTTCAGGGTTTATAAAGGGATCATAGATGACAAAGCCACCATCATGAACCAGAAATGATAGACAAGTGGGATTGTTTGTTGCTGTAGTGGAACAGGATGCCAAGTCACTTTAGACATGGGTGCTTTAGAGAAGCTTAATCAGGTTTATGTTGTGTAGAAATGCAGAAAGAAATGCCATATGCTAGATGCCAGCATATGGCATCTAGCCATACTTAAAAGGGTCAAGACTAACTATCATTAAGTGGCACTGAAACTTTTAATAACAGCTAACTTTAAAACATATATTAATACTAAAAATTAAATCCAGGCAAAAAGAACACCTCATTAGCAGCATCCTAAAACTCACATAACCTGATAAAGTGTAGATGCTCTCTGGGGTCCGGATCCTGGGGTATTAAAGCTTAGTCAGTTTTGCATTTACAAACACAAACATTTTAATTTCCAATGTTATCATGAGACATGCAGTAGACTCTGCAACTAGATTCTCAAGCAAAAAATTCTTACACAATATTCCTCTGGGCAAAGTGATTGCATTCAAATTCTCTCTCTGTCATACAGTAGAAAATTGCTTTTGTTTTAGTAGAAGATCTTTGTTACCAAATGCAATTTGATAATTCTATTTTCCAAATCAAGAAGCTGTACATTTTCTTCCAGTCACTAAAATTGTTCCAGAAGAAAAAGGTAATCTCATAAAAAGAAATAAAACCAGGACATAATAGTTCAAAAGAAAATTCCTCATGACAAATAGACTCAGTGTCTTCACTACTCTTCTTCCCGAAGTCTGAATGCTCTGAGATGTGTCTGCAGATGATTCAGCAAAACAACGTATATGAATATATATTTTTCTGCAAGTATTACTTGAGATTACATGCATCACTGATTTTATTCCCAACTTAGACTGTGGCTGTTCCCTCAAAAAGGCAAATGTTCATTATTGACATGAAACATTTTAAAATTCACTTTCTCATTACACCTGCCTTCAGATACCTGGTTTTCAGTCAATAGCATCAAGGAAATTTGGGGAAAAGTTATAGAAGAAAGCAAGAACAAAAAGAGGACAAGGCAAAATAGGCCAATTAACTTAAAATGGCTTGGTTAGAATTTTTAAGTAAGGACTCCTGAAAAATGTGTTGGAGTATTTGCTCAGCTCCATGTTAGATGTGCAGACTAAATTTATTTACTTTCTATGAATATCTGTATGTTATGTTATTCACTGAGTTAAAAATAAAGCATTTTCTTTATATAAAAATATAACCTGTCAATTTCTACCACTATTAAGTAAAAAATATTTTATATACTCACATCAGTTATATTGCTATTTTTGCAATGCTAACTTTTGCAACATCTGAATTTCTAACACCAGTTTCAAAATGTTTTTTTGGAAAATTTTGCAGTACTTGAATACATCTAGAGATGAAGGAAAAAATTAAAAATAATTTTACAGTTAAAGTTGTCAGTCAAAAATACAGCCATGTTATACAGAGATAATCAACTACTGGGGCTGTAGTTAAGACAAAACTAATGATAAATCAGCCCTTTATTTCTCATGAAAATTGCTAATAACAGCCCTCCTTTGGCATTAATTGCTCTTAACAATTCATTTCTGGTCAAAACTTGAATTGATTTTGATACACACAGCAGGAATAACTCTATCACTAACATTTTGGTAAAAATCCCATACCATTTTAAATCAAGTTATAAAACTACAATAGCAGGATAAGTTAATAAATGACATAACAACCACACAGAGCTACACACACAAACAAAAATACTCATGAAAGTCAACACATTAATACCTCCATATGTAGTTTAAATAGAAAATAGAGGAACTCTCGAGTTTCATTAATTATTATGTGCAATGCTGGGTAAGTTCCTTGAAGGAAGATCATTAAAAATGTGTAAAATAAAAAATACATTCCCTGATCCTCTATTAGATGAACAATACAAGAAATCACAGACAGCTACATAAACTGAAAGACAAGCTCGTTGCAGTATTTGGTGGTATCAATATATTCTCAAATGAAAACTTCAGATTTTTATGTACCTTCATACTTATTATAAGACTGTTCTTTTTAGGAGGTAAAGAGATGCAAAAAACCAAGAGATTTTCTGATTAAAAATCCCACTATATCAGGTTTCAGTAAGAAAAAATTCTGTATTTTTTATTTATAGGACTCATTTGGAGTCCTCTGCTTTTCTACAGATCCAGAAGGATATAGTTCTTTTTACCAGAAAACTTTTTGCTGGATAAATTGAGAACACATGATGGATCTCTCACATCTGCAGGCTCTGAGCTCGATGGTGATGTGTTCTAAGGTGTTCAGACAGCTACTTCAGAATGGAGGACGCAGTAATGGGTCTCAGTACTGTTAAAAATGGTTTGCACAAATTATTTACTTATACTATGGAAGCTCACTATAGCCACTAGTGAGCTTCCATAGTAGCAGAAAAGAGTACAGAGCTTGTGAAACCCTGTTCCAGTTGCATCTGGAACACTGGAAGTCTTTCTGAACTGTGCTATATATCAGTATCATAAGGATTAAGGAATGCATTAGCAGTAATACCAGTAACAGCTTATAAAATGCTTATATCTTAAAGCCTCTGCAGATGAGAAGCACTTTAATGAGAAGCAGATGGACAAAATGATAAGAATTTCAAGTCAGGAATGGAAGAGAAATGGTGAATGAATTCACAAAGGCTTGAGACTCGTTACTTCCCTCAAACTCATTGCTGACAACACAGCAGAAGGCCAGCCATCATGCTACTTACGTCATAGCTTGATAAATGTATTCAATCCCATAGCGCATTGCAAATTCATCCACAATTTCCTGCGCAACATCATCAAAGTACACCTTCCAGGCCTCGTCGCCTTTCACCTCGGGGATTTTCACCGCACCGTTTGACTTCACTTCCGTCAGGTAATGGAACAGATTCTAAAGGTAAGAAATACAGTAGAAAAAGGCAATCCCCCAGCCAGGGAATAATGTGCTCTTACTCCATGATTCAGAAGGCTAAACAATTGCTTTATTAAGCTACTATATTACACTAATACTATACTATATTAAGAGATACTATATTAAAGAGATATTATACTATGCTAAAGAGATACTGTACCAAAGAATACTAAAGAAAAACTCATGACTGTCTGGACACAGCCAGGACACAGCTTTGACCCAATTGGCCAAGAAAACAAAATATCCTTCACTGGTGTCCAATAACCAAATCTCTTTTGGTAAACAATCTCCATAATACATTCCACATGTGCCAAACAACAGGAGCAGTGAATAGAGATAAGAATTGTTTTCTCTTCTTCTCTGAGCTTCTCACTGCCTTCCCCAGAAAAATCCTGGGAGAGAGAATTATGTCTCTCTGTTCAGAGAATGTGAATACCACATAGAAATGTTTCAAAAATGAAAGTTTGGCTTTTAAGAAGCATTCTGAAAATATATCCTACATATAGTCTTCAATATGTTGTTAGTCAATTTTTTAATTGTTTCTTTTTCCAAAGACTGGCTCAAACTAGTCAGCAAGCTTGTGATTCAGCACATTGTATCTTCTTGATATAAAGCCCTGTCCTTTAACTGGCACAGAAAGACTGCAACATAAAATAGTGCAGAAACTTCTCTTTTATATGCCCTTGTTAATGAATGAAATCATGGTGTTGTAATACTTATTACAGAGTGTTTCAATTTCAATTGTAACTGTGACCAATAAATTTCAAATTCATTATTTAAATCCTTCAGTTACAGGGAGCTAACAGAAATACTGAAGGTGCCTCTCAAATTGTGCAAGGTGTGCAACAAAGCTTAGGTTTAACACCCTTGGGAGCAAAACTAGGATTTGACATTCATGGCATAGAATTCTACTCAGATTGCCTAGCTCCATATGTATCCACAAATTTGACAACTTCACATATATCCACAAAATCCAACAGATTTTATTTCCAATTTTCAGTGATAACCCCTAAAACCTCAAAATATTTTCAGTTTTGCTAAATTAGCCCATAACTGTCTCTTGGATTCTCTTAAAACATTTTAATATTGTCATTTACTTCATAAGTCCAACATTTGCAATTTCAGGTCAAAATTGATCAGCACAAATGCCCTAAATATCTGATTTTACAAATGGTGAACAATGGGATTTTGTGGCTACATGATAGTAGTGAATTTTCAGCCATGTATTAGCTACCAGCTTTCAGAAACTACTTGCATTTCCAGAATAGAATTTCTACATGGATCACTATTTGAAGGAAAAGTAATCAATTACAAAGAAAATCTTCCAGAAGACACATCTGTTTATCAGAGATGATTTTTTTCAATATTGACAATAGCAAACTAGATGAAAGGAAAATTAGATTTTATAGTATTTGTGTTTTTTCTTTTTCTCACTCTCTAAAATACGTATTACTGTAAAACAAAAGAAATCCTTTACAGTGTACTTCTGTAATATATAGAAATGTTTGTATTTTCCTGATGTTAACAATCATGTATCAAAGTGTTAAATCAAAAAAAAAAGTACGGGTAGAGCTATCTGGCTCAACCTCTTTTTCTAACACTCCTAGCAGGAATGATCTGTTTGTTGGTCTTATGTTGTCCTACCCTTGCCTCTGAACCTGATACTTCCTCAGCAATACAGAATGGGAAATCTAAAATAAACTTGTCCTCATGTACAACAGCAGTTATTTGTTTCAGTGCTCTAATGTTCTGTAGCCTTTTTTTTCTTTATCGATGCAACAAGTGAACAGTAATTTCTATACAGTGTACTATAACTTCTCCAACATACCTCGTGTAGACAGGTGTACTGCACATGATAAGGAGCAACTTTCTCCTCTCCTTCAATTTCAACATTGATTTTCAGTCTAATGGCCCCAGAGACAGCTGATTTATCGGTTCGCTTTTCTGAAGAGTGGAAAAACAATACATTAGGAACTACCAAGAACACATGTATGTCACATGAAAAGCTCTCATAAATCATTCTGGTTTAATCTTTTAAAGCCAGGGAGTCCTGCTGTTGAAAACAAGAATGTTTTTTAATACCTCACACATGGTTCAGGCCACAAAATATAATATCTAACTATGAAGTAAAGAATCTTCCTTATTTTATCTCCCATATTCAAACAAGGCTGCACAGCTATTTATTTACTACTTTCCCCTTTTCAATTGAAATTACTGTCATTTTCTACCTGACATCGGTACTAATTATTATTATTTTCCTTTGGTTATGAAGACTTTACCAACAACCTGGACTACTCTGAGTGTGATAGTTGATTCTGGTGTGCCCACCAAAGCTGCTCTATCACCCCCCTCCTCTGCTGGACAGGAGACAGAAAATCTGATGAAAGCCCCATGGGTCGAGAGAAGGATGGGGAACAGATCACTCACCAACTATTCCATGGCAAAAACCAGACTCAACTTGGGGGAAAATCAATTTGTTACCAGTGAAATCAGAGGAGGAAAATGAAAAATAAACCCAGATCTTAAAACACACCTTCCCCTCACCCATCCCTTCTTCACAGGCTTACTTCACTCCTGATTTTCTCTACCCCTTCCCTGCCAGTGGCACAGGGGGACGGGGCAGTGTGGGTTCTGCCTTTCATTTTCAAATCAACCTGTTATATTTAATACTTTAAAAGTCATACATTGGCACCAAAGCTACAAATTTTGAAGTCACAAAGTTAAATACTCTACCTAAATTTGTTTTAAAAAATCAGTAAGAATCATACCTAAATTATACCATACATCCATTTCTCCACTCAGTGTTCTTACTTCAATGATTGTTTGCCCAAGGAAGTCATCTGATTCCTTTTTGAAATGCTGTTTTACTCTAGATTTGATATCATCATCTTCATCCCATACTCTTACTTTTATTCTATCTGTAGAGTTATGACATTCACTGGAAAAACAAAAATAAAACACAAAATGTGAGTGATACATAAACTATATTACTCTGTACTTCTAATTAATTAAACTCAATCTCCACACATTTGCTTAACTGCACCAAATGCCAAAGCACAAACAATCTGCAACATCCAGAGGAAAAAAAGGCCAACCCAGACTGCCAGGGACAAAAAAATTACTATGTATATGAGACTTACTACATATAAAGAGAATCAATTTATTGAATTATATATACATAAAGACTGCATTTAGGAATGTCAATAACTGCTCATTAAAATTTTTAATTTGAAATTCATACTTCTTTATGCTATTATGTAACAAATATCTTAGGAAAGATAGTTAGGTCAGGTTTATTTGTTTAGGAATGCCATGTAGTACATATAGTAAACTACCAAAGTAATACTCTGTAATAATACAAAAAGCAAGAATTAAAAAAAGAATATTTCCAGTGTGTATCAGAAGCTTTTGTTAAAAACTAAGAAGTATGCACAAGCACCCTAGCAAGAAAAGAAAGGCAATCAGAAAAACCCAGGAAAATAAGTAGCCGCTTTTTAAAAAAAGATACATTAATGTTCTTCCCGACCTCCATTCCCTGGTAAGGAGAAAGAGTAGGGACCATGCCACGTTATAAAAACTTTCTTGTAAATTTAAGTGGCTTACTAACCCCTCCTGGGTTGAGTGGATTTGAGAAAGTGCTGGATGTATTGAGGGAATGAGGTGGCTTCACTTGCAATCTGCAGAGTACACAGTGGAAAAAATTTTTACTCCCAGCTGCACCCTGCATTTATTTGCACAGAAGTGGAAAAGAAACTCTATTACTGCTTACTTCTATAAGGCACAATAAGGAATGTTTGCTATTCATTGGTGTAGGCTTTTGATGAATTGATTGGAATATCCCAACACTGACTGCAGAGGTTTGGGTTAGTGGAAAACTTTCTGCTGAAGTTTAACTAGTACAGAGCTGGCATCAGTTAAATCCATACCATACTTGTGCATCCATACAAAGTACTGTTTTAATATCCATTCACTAGTGCTACAGAAATATTTTATATATTACATACCTTTGTTTGTCTTTAAATACTACTTTGAAGCATAGCTGCAAATTTTCATCTTCAGTAGGGCATTACTTTCACACTCGATTAAGAGTTTTCACTCGAATTCTATTCCAAGCACTATCATAACTTAGTGATCTGTCTCTGTTTTCAGTGTTAAAACAGTAATACTCCAACTTATCTTCCAAGCAGCACCCCTCAGGGGTATTCTAAGAATTAATTAGTGGTGGTAATGGGCTTTGGAAGTATAAAGTGCTGTAAATGGTATTATTATTGTCAAGGCCAATCAGATACTAAAAATGGCACACACAGCTTTTACTCTGCCACACTGATAGCGTTCAGTATCACAGAAATCCTTGTGTCTCCTATTCCATATTTTAACTTTGCAGATAATTCTTGTAATTAAAATGCACATTGTTCTGTGATTAGCAAAACTAATATAAAGTGTAGTTTCCTGTTGTCTTATGACTGGCTTCCTTGACATCCAGCCAACCACAATCACCTACTGAATCTTCCCCATAGCTGGGGTTTTCATAAATTACCCCTTTATGTGAACTCCTGGTATCTGTTATGGGGTGAGCTCATACTGAGGACAGTTAGTATCTCATCTCTCTCGAACCGCATATTTTCACAGAACATGACAGACATACTATTTGGCAATCTGTGAAATTCCTCTGACCAATCACAAAATTCAAAAGCTATTGGCAAGGACATACAAAATATAGGAAGATAGAGATGGACCACATAAGCATTGCTGCCTTGAGAAACTAGGCTATTTAATTCTCCTGAAATGTAACTCTAAGTTAGTACTTAACATTGCTAAAGTCCTGAATTGCATTTAGCTGTGCACACAACAGAAATAACTGACAGGGGATTTCTAGAATGACATAGGGAGATCTGTCACTGGTGAAGTATTTATGTGACCCTCATCACCATACCTGTGTTTTTAATAGGAAATTAAAGCAGGAAATCTTATTCCTGCTTTGATTCTCTGGCAGATGCTGCATATAAAAAGTCACTGTGTACTTCAGCACAAACATAATATTTCTATTATTCTGAGACAACACAAATTTCCCTCTAATATCCACTTAGCTGATAAAGAAATATTTATTCAGATGGTCAGGATTCCCTGATATCCTCAGTTGTCCTCAACATCCTTTTCTCCTTTAATCTTAGGTTAGTGAAACATGGCAAGACCTGACACAACCAACGTGTTAACTCATGCTCATCTTTGTTTTGAAACTTCAGCACAGAGTCAGCTCTGCTATCTTTGTAATGCTCCTGTGCAGGACCACAAAAATAGCATGAATTTGTGTTTAAAAACAGAAGAGTGGATGAGCAAATATTTCTCCTGGCCTGCCCTGTAGCAGTGCGACTGCAGGGAGTTACTGCTAAAGTTACAGAGCTGTCTCTGAATGATCCTGCTTACCTGCCCAGACTCAGAAACAGCCCTCTGGAATGACATGCACATTCTGCTTTAGTCACTACTAACATCTGTCCAGAAGCTCTGGCTGGAATTCCTACTTCTGTTTACTCCAGGAAAATCAGCCCAGGGAATTAAACACTAGACAACACATGCTAGTTTCAGTGTTCCTCTTCTAGCCACTCTGCTTTATATGCTCAGTAAAAGCATTCACAGAAGTAAGATACAGGAAGATCAGAAATGAATTGTTCTCTAGCACACAGAGCTTCTGAAAACTAGAGAATTTTCAGTCTATTCAGAGATGCAAGACAGAAGAGACAGAGTTTTAATAATTTACCAACAATCTGGTGACAGTACATTACTTTTGCATTTCCAGAATGCCACAAAGACATGAAATAATCCTCATAGAATTCCAGCTTATTCTAATGGCTAGAGTAATAAAACTGAAATAAAAAAGTATCTTTACAACAGTACCGCAATGTAAATTTAACATTAGATGCACTGGCATGATCTTACTGTACATATCCTCTGAGAGATCTGCACCCAGTGTTAAAATGACAACTAAGTGATACTGTGCTACCCTCAGTAAGTTCAGGAAGCCACTTATTGCTATTATTACCTTCATGTTTATTGTTATTGCTATTACTGCAAGCCAGAACCAGATCCACACCATTGCTAGGTCCACTGTTAGGTGTTCACAGACAGTTCCATGGTCCTTCAGGATACGCCTTTCAGAATTTCATTAGCCCCATTGTTGTCCGCATTAGCACATTGTTGGCAAACCTTTGCTGAAGCCTGATTTAAACCTCTCTAAATGTAAATTGTGGCTATTACTTTTTGTTCTACTATAACAGTAAGCATGGAAAATACATTATTCCTTTCCTCTTTTCAGGAGAAAGGATGTGTTTAAAGACATCCTTACCTCCACTACTTGTCTCTTCTCTAGTCTGGATAGTCCCAATTCTTTAGCAGTGTTGTCACAGGCCATGCTTTATGATAAAGTAGAATGAGACTAATTATGTTTTTTCTTGCATTATTTTACTCTGTCATAACAAAAAGAGAGTTGTATAATTAATCTGGATTGACAGCAGTTTGAAAAAAAGACTCAGACCATGCATGCTGTACTCTGGAACTGAAAAATATCACCGAACAAATAATTTATCATTGGAATTGCTTCTTAGAGATGTTCTGCTCTCTTGATTTGGGCTGCAGATGTGAGATACAGTTATTTTAATTAGCAGAATGTCTCTCAGAAACTTGGCTGATTATTGAAGAACTTTTGGAATGGATGAGTCTCGTAAACTGATGTGTAGTCTTTGTTAGTCAATTTGTTTTATGTAATACAATTCTCTGTTATATACTCTTGCTTAGGAGGCAATCCTTGAGCTATTTCAACAATTCTGGCAAAATTGTGTTTAGATATCACTGGAAACTGAAGCACTATTTAAGCAGTTAACCAACCATGCTATCTTCAGGTAGAGTGAAGATCATATTTTTTAAAAGTCAGTTCAGCTGATTAAGAATGTACAAAATAACAGTTTAAAGGGACTGTGGTGAAGTCCTCTTGGCCACTGACAGTAAATATTACTTAAAATGAATCCACCAATTCATTAATTTCAGAATAAATAACGTGTGAGTGCCATGGTTTAAAGTAACTCTAAAGAAGAAACATCTACAGCTGGATGACTGAAATCAGTTTGAGCAAATGTTTTCATGCACTGAAGGCAGCAATATAAATCCAATGAAAATATTTATTAGAACCCTTATGCTGTCTTAGTGACAATCAAAATAGGAAAAATAAATAATGTAAAATAATCATCCAGTTATTTGAAAGATCTCTGTATTATACAATTGTATCTGGGGTATTTATGAATGGCCAGAGGACATGTGGTACCTGCAAAGTCAGCAAGGCAATTTGGAGCTGTGTGCTAGCCTAGACAACACTGTCAGAAAAAACTGATTTCTATACGCCAGTAAGCAACTGTTGAAAATAGTCAAGAAAAGAATGAGAGTAGACTTTTATTATAGTGCATCAATATAAAGGTTTCTACAAAGCTGAAAACTATATAGCCAAAATACAGCTTCGTGTAATTAAAAAAAAAAAAAAAAAAGCAAATGAAGTCCCTTTTCCTGTATCAGATGCCACACTCAATCAGAAAGAGAAGGTGACAGCTGCAGGACTCTTCCTTAGCTCTGGCATTGAAAGAAACGTTCCTATCACTGATGTTTCACTGAAAAAGCCCCCAAAACCTCTTTGTTATCTCATTTCTAATAATGCCAGGAGAAAGGATCAAAGCCCTTAGCACCTATATTACATTCATTAAATGAACATCTGCTGACCTATTTACTTCTCTACCTTGTGCACCAAAAAGCTCTATTTTAGTTATGCTTTATGAGGTCCTCTGTTCCAATCTATGCCAGTGTCCCATGGTCATTTAGCAAGGGGTCAGGCTACATTTTGTCAGAAGCATTCTCTCACTGTTATCATGCAATCATATCTGGGTTACGTGTGGTTCTAAGAACAGGAGCACTACCCTCACTCCATGTGCTATGACAGAGCAAATGCACAGTGGGGAGCCAATGTTTTTTCCAAGTCCTTATTTTGGAACAGATGGGAAGACATGTTTTGGTATGAAAAGTATGCATAAGACTATAAGATTTTTGAGACATCTTATTTCTGCATTTTATAATTTAAAAGTTATAATGATGGTTAACATTAGATTTTCAACAGAATTTAAATACCAATTACCACTAATAGAGCCTAATTTAAATAACACTTCCTGAGTCAATTAAATAGTTATATTGATTTACTTTAGATTTAATCTTCTGGTAAAACATTTATAGTTTATTTAATATAATTTAGAAATTCTCATATACTTTCAGCTGAAATCCAAAGCATTAACTAACTCAGGGAGATTATTTCAGAAAACATATGTGCTATTGAAATGTTGGAAAATGTATTCAGTACAAAGCAGTTGCTCAGGAGGTTCATGCTATAGTAAGGATTGGGAGGGGGGTATAAATATTCCTGGGGAAGCAGATGATAATAATACTTAGTGCTGGGGAAAAAAAAATTGAATATTTTCAAGTTTCTGGGGATTTTATTGTAGCCCTGCTCATATCTTTGAGAAACTACATTCAACAATCTTTGTATGAAATTTTCTGAATTACTCATAATTTTTGACATTACGCAATTCCTACAATTAAAATGCAAGAAAATAATTATCTCCTACTTTTGGACACTCAAAGCCATTCAATGAGGTATGACACTTCAACTGTTACCACAGTAACACAGTTAACTCAAAAGGAAAACACTTTCTGGATAGAAGAAGTTGTAAAACGTTTCTAGGTGTCTCTTTTCTCTGAAGTATCTATTTATTTGTAATACAAGTGTTTGAAACTGTGAAAGGAATGGCATACATTGTTTAATTCAGCTGGATTCTCTAGTACCTTTTCCAGACAAATAGAAGCAGCATCTTGGACCAAAACTCTTTCACACTCTACTGAAACAATAACCTCCTCCTCAATAAGGTAGCAGATTTTGGCCAAAACCAAGGGAAATCCTCTATCGGAAGAAGTTAACCTGTCAAGTTACGACACTGCATCTTCTAGAAGAAAAGAGGGCTCTATTTCAAATGCCTGAACCCTCACAGAAACTGTTTGCACAGTTTATTTAGATAGGAATAGTGACAACTTCTTCCCTCTTTATAGGAGGAAAGAAATATGAGAATAAACAACGACATCATATCATACTCTCCACATTTGGCTTTTAGGCAACACTCTCTAAAAGTATGGGCATTATAAACACACCAACCCTGAGCCTGGAGCACAGCAATTACTACCAAATTCCCCAGTTATACATCAGAGAATCACAGTGTCAAACAAAAACACATTTACCTTGCATGGTCAGTATCTGGCACACAGAAAAGCATTTCTAATGACAATATTTGGTATGTAAGGTTGAAGTATGAAAACAGTTACTTAAGTTCCCTTAAAGACTAGAATAATTAGACACCACCAACAGATCCCAAAAAAGACTCAGTTCTAAGCTGCATGATCACTATAAGATAAAGACACAATAAATTTTGATGCTCTCTCCATTCAGAACTTGCTAATTTCATAATGCTATAAATATGCATAGTACAGACAAAACATATTTTCAAATTAAACCAACATTTCACTTGGTAGAGTTATATTATCTAAATGTAGATTTAAAAAAGCAGTATCAACAGCATTTTCTCTACTTACAAAGAGAATTTTTCATCCCATACTGGATTCAAATTTCCAAAAATAGTTTTTGTTCTTCGTTTGTTTTTGCCAACTTGCACAGTAACATATGGGTCACTTGAGCCAGTTTTGTCCTTAGCCTGTAAGCCCTGAGCACAAAGAACTGCAACAAAGGAGAGAAATGTGCTTTAGCCCTCATAGCCTTTATTGCCAAGAAGTAAATGAGAGTGACAACAGCAACAGGAAACAAAGGCCTCACAGTGAGGGATCGTGAAGAAAAGGTTTCTGGATTATTTTCCCAATGTCCGTAACTCTGGAGGCTGACAAGGTTTGCCTAATTACCCTTCTGGACTGTACCATATTGAAAAATAAAGTTTATATGGAGTAATAAATATAAAGATTCACTACTGAGCACCAAACAAATACTTTTCACACATAATTAAAATATTTTTCTCAAATGTTCGTTTGGTCAAAATGGCAAGGAATATAACGTATATATAACTTGTCTTGAGCCTGATAGTTCCCTAAAGTTCCCTGCCCACAGCAAACAAATAAATATTTCCAAAATTTCTCTGAAGATGCAAACTAACATTCCCAAAGTAAAGCCTCCAATAATACAAAAGACATGTTCTGTGGCTTATGGAACTAAACATGAAGGACATTGCTGCCATTTGTTCTCTTAAGAGATGAAACATGACTTTTAAAATACTTTCTATACTATCACAGAGAGTGTGACAATTCAGATCAATTATCATCAACTGTTTATGTATTTGCTATCCTTTCTGACAGTTAGTGTGGGTGTATAGTTAGTAGATATGAATTTAGTGGCAAATATAAATACATACAATTTGATTTTCCATCATAATTCATAAAAGTGGAAATCTCAGAGGGAAGCAGAACCGTCAAAGAGCAGTCTACCAAAGCCAGAGAACTGCAGCTAAAACACTTGCTCTGGCTCTTAACATTCAGCAGCAGTTGGCTTTGTTATTTGCACATATTGTTTAAATCATCTCAGTGGTAACATTGAGTTAACGCTCTCTAATGTCAATCATTTTGGATAATGAAGCTCCCTTGGCATACTCAGAAAAATGATTACCTAAAAATGGCACCTTGCTCAGCAGATCAGCTCTCGGTGTGGGTTCAGTCATATGTGCTGACTTCAGTAAAAGTAAAATTGTGCTATTCTTTAACATATCCAATTTCTGAAAACACTCTTAGGAATAAAATAGCATATTTTGTTTTCCCCATTCACTCTAAATTCACAGGGAAACTTTTAGAAGGCAAGGAAGTATCCTTCTCCTATTTATGCAGTAGAACGAAGGGACAGCCTAGCAAAAATCTTCAAGGACTAAATTGTGTGTACATACTGCCCTGAACACAAGACAGCCTTCAGTATCCTTTAGCGGTACAACTAAAGATAAACATATGAATTAAATATGTCCCTAGTGCTTGGTGACAGTCCCAAAATTCCACAATTATTCTTTTGAGTTTCATGCACCACCTCTCAACCTTCAGAACAGCCTCCATTTACGCTGAGGTTTTAATTCAAAAGCTGAAATGTCAGAGGACCTGGAAATCTTCATAAGCAACTAGGCTAATGCAATTGGAAGCCATCTGGAATATGTTTGGAGTGAGCAGAATTATGCAACATCAGCATCACTAAAATGAAACACACCCTTAGTCAAGCAATGTGAATGGATAATAAGTTTCAAAACCAATAGGATCTGGAGTTGCAAGCTCAAATGTTTTTTTAACCAGTCAAAGCCTTTTTTTTTTTTTTTTTTTGTAAAGTTAAACTCTTGCAGCTGGTGGCAAAAAAATCTCATCATTAGCACAGAAGATATTGCTAGGAGGTAGATGAGATACATTCTTTTTACTTGTCTTCCTTCCTATAGCAGTAGAATATAAATTGGTTTTGGCAACTTTAAACTCAGCTCTTGCAGTTGGCATCCTATAAATTCCACTGTTTGTATATGTACCAACTATGTAACTGAACACACAGTCCAGCTCTACTTATAAAAAATCTTGCTCCTGAATCAGGGGAATAGGAAAGAAAGAGCTCTTAGAACAGAAGAAAATTACCTGTGATAGTTATTTTTGCTGACCATTTGGATGTTCCATCCAAAACACTTTGTTTTGCTGCTTTTGTATACTGTACAAAATCTTCTTTAGAAATATTAAACATTTCCTGGATCACTTCAAACACTTCTGGTCTATTTTTCTCTCTAATCTTCATTCTTTCCTTCATAGCACTAATAATATTCTGTGTTTTGTCTTCTGCACCATGCTTGGAACTTTTCTCAGCTGCTCCTGAAATGAGAGAAAATGTCACCATTGTTATTGAAAATTAAATTTTTTGTTGTTGTTGTTGGGTGTTTTTTTTTTTGTTTTTTTTTGTTTTTTTGTTTTTTTTTTTTCTTTCTAAGATCTCCAGTCTTGGTGCAGCAGTACCTGAAGGAAATCTTTGTTTCACCTGAATAATACCTCATATATATATTCTTTGTGATATCTAAAATTATTAGTTGATTTAGTTTAACATGAGGGGTTAATAGTCAGCTTCCATCAGTGTTATGTGTTATACATAAAATTATTTATTTAAACAATACTATTCAGTGTCAATCAGGACTGTGGAAACATCTCAACATGTGTACTGAGCAGAATGCACAAATTTGTAATCTCAAAACTCGATCATTAGACACCACACCTGTGATATTAAACTCAGAGACTTTTTGGAAAAGAAAACCTACTCAAGAAAATATATCACAGGTATGGAACAGAGAGGTTCCCCTCTCCAATAAAATGGTCATTACTGATAACTTCAGTAATTATTTGAGGATTGTAAAAGAGATCAAGGGATATTATCTGTGTGAGAATACTTCCAGACTGTGTTAGCCTGTGGTGGCATGTCAGGCAGAAAATACTCAGGTAATTTTTTTGGGACATCAAAACCACTACAATGTTTATTGGTTTAAATTGAAAAAAAAAAAAAGATTTTAAGGAGACCAAGTTGTTGCAAATTTTATTTACAATTCTTTTCAGAAGTGCTCTGGAGAGATTTCTCTCTCCAATAATTGTAACTGATCTCAGAGGCCCTTTCAAAAACAAAGTGAAGTTCACCTTATAAAATGTCCTTTTTCTGTCAGAGGAAAAGGTTTCTTCTGACCAATGCCTGTACAACATACTCTTGAAAAAGCCCCAAAAATCAATCTTGCAGATGAGTGTGAGAAAAAAAAACATGAGACTTCTATGATCAGAATGGTAGGAAAAAAAAATATAAATTCCTGCAGTGCTAAACAGGATATTTAAACTCTTGACCAGATTAACATATGAAGCAAGATAGAAAAATACTAAAAAATTCAATGACATGCTACCGCTTGCTATAGGCATTGCTGAATTTTGGCTCATGTTGTTAAACACTATGCACAGGCTTGTGGCACTAAATGACAGAATCATCATTATCATTAGCAGAAGTAAGAGCTTCCCTCTTCCAAGAAGTTGTGAAAACATCATCCATCTAGCCATCCTTAAATTCAGCGAGGCTTCAAGTATTATTTTTCCCTTTAGAGGGTTAGTAAAATTAAAACAAAATAATTTTGAACAATTTGTTCCGCAATTATAATTCAGATATTTCAATGCTGAAGAAGCATAGAGTTCCTTCTTTATAATGCCATCAAAGACAAATATATTCTTTTGAAGGAGTTTTTGTTGAGGCACTCAGCTTGCAATGGCTAAAGCAACTAGAGCTGGAAAGTGTAATTTTTCAGCTTATATATTTTTCAGCATAAGATTCAGTGAAATCTTACAAACCAAATATTACATGCTTTGTTTTCTTCAGTTTTCAATGTGTCAGAAGGTTTCTTAGCTCATTGGAGGACAACTGATATCTACATCTACAGAGAGATGTAGGATGGGAAGGCATTATAATATTGGAAAAGTGTGGGTTGAAATACCAGATATCAGTGATCCCAGACTGACAGTAGGCTGAATTATATGGCTTCTTCAATTTTTCCAAGGCTACTAAATCTTGAGAAATCTTGAAAATATCTTGGTGAGTACCTAATATTTTTGAATATTAAAGAACAAAATTCTAGTGATTAAAGATTATCCAGACTGAAAAATTAGGAATTAGTAGAAACAGAATTATGTTCTACCATAAAACAAAATACAATTTAAAAAATTCTCTAGTGATTTTATTATAAAAGAGATGATTGCTGAGATGTCTGGAAAACATGACTGGTAATTCTTAGAAGATGCAGGAGGGAACTTTTTTCATTTTCGCTTATTTTCTGCCATTCCTTAAAAAATAGAAATGCAACAAGATAACTGAATGATAAACCCTGGGGACAATCTGAATGGCAATAACATATTCCTGTTAGAAACCTTGTTGATTTTTGAGACAGCACAGATAAAACTGAAATACGTGTCAAAATATGACTTCCTTTAAGTAAATATCTTTCTCTTTGTACTCATTTATTGCAACTAGTTTTACGTCCCCTATTGCTAACAACCTCTGCTGCTGTCTATCAACAACTCTTTTCATGCAGTATTGACCAAACTAATTAAGACAATAGTGTAACTTACATTGCACAGGAAGTTAACAAGCTCCTTTCACCCTAGGGACTGATACAAACTCAACATGATTGAAATCAATTCTAATTTAATATTGCACCTAGTACTAGAAAGGATATCTTATTGAAGATGAGAGAGTTAATGAAAGTGCTACTGTTTTTTTTCTAAATCTAATTTAGAGCAAGTTTATATATTGACCCTAAAGATCTTGAGATGTGAATTCATTTCTACAGCCTACATTAGCAATCATTATATATTAAAAAAAATAATCACAGAAGTTTGAAGGTGAATACATCCTACTGATTATGAGGTGGGCAAAAGAATGATTATGATAAAAATAACTACATTTCACTTTATGACACTGTTAACATCAGCTTTCTCAGAAATAGAGATTTAACCAATTGGTCAATTAATTTTTTCAGTGGAAAATAAGGAACATGAAATTTTCAAAGTACTATACTATGAACACTGAACAACTAATCTGTTGCAAAAAATATGACAGGATGCTCAGAAACATTTGCATACTAATGAGAAGAGTGGGGTCCCTTAGGCCTGTTAAATATTTTATCTGCACTTTGCCTTCTTTAGGTTTTGTTCTTTTAAGAGTCAGTTGTTTGGGCCAGGGGACACCAGCCCAGATTCAACCACAGAGCAGAATCACAATTAAACGTGGTTAGGAAGTTTGCTTTAGACATTCATAACTGATTTATTCTCCATGGGGTCAGTTGCTCTGGGAAATTTTAACTGATTCCTGAGCAGTACAAACCTTGAGCATCCATCCCTCATGACAGCTCCTCACACAGAGAACACAGGGAAAAGAAGGAAGAACTGAGTGAAATATCTGTGTAGTTTTCCTACACGTAGAAGCTCTGGATGGCATCAACAGTAAACAGAGTTGAATAACTCCAGAGTATGGAAGCCCATTCCATTCCAAAATCAGAAAACTTGTAGGTCTTGATTTTCTATTTTCTATTCTTAGAATCTTGTATAATAATTGTAATTTAAGAATTGTTTCAATACACCTGATATATTTTCACAGAAGAATTCATGATGACTAGAACCAAGCTGAAGGAAAAAGCAAGGAAAACGTTGTTTTGCCTTAATTCTAGTGCCAAATGGCTTACTGACTAAATTTTTTCCCCTTACACATAGAGGGTTTAGTATTTTGAAGGAACAAGATCCTACTTACTGTTTCATATTTTTGACTAATATATAGCACATCAATATGACTATAGTAAGTAGCAGAAATATTTTTAAAAATATTTCCTTTGACATTTTTTGTGTTTTGAGTTAAGTAAAACAAAGAGGGTTTACATCAAGTAATAAATTGCTCCAGATATTGCCATAGGCAGTGGAAAGTAAATAATTCACTGTTGTTAGCAAGCATTATTTTGTAAAAGCCCAGCAACATTTGACAGATTTCAAGGACAAAAGCAAAACTAACAGTAGCTTTTCCATAAAGCTTCAGTCTAGCTTCTCAACTGAGGAGCATCAACACACGTTCACTGGTTTTGGGTGATCTGGTGCCTCATTTCAAGACATTGCTGAGCATATAGACAAAATCAAAAGGTGTGAATTAGTACAAGACTTCAGCTATCATGAAATACTCACTCTGCAAACAGTCAGCATTTAGGAGGTCTTGGCACTTCTCATGGCATTTGACACCACATTCACTGCATCTCATGCCTTGTCTGGCTATGCCCCAAAGCAGGCCTTCACATTCATAACAGTATGTGGGAGTTGTAGCTGTCCAGATTTCAAAGTTATGAGGTGTAGTTGATGATATTGGATAGATCAAAGCCTGCAGGGTCTTCTTGAAGACATGTATTTTCTGTTGGGTAAGAAAAAATATTTCAGGTGTATTGTGTAACAAAAGTGAACTATTTCTAAACTATATGCCATTTACACCTAAAATGTTACAAAATATCAGAATATACATAGAAGTATAAAATAATTTGTAAAATACTGATTTACTCATTTTGCTTTACACTTTGAAAAGAACTTGACTGTTTTGTCTGATTACACAAACAGCAGAGTTAAGTTGGAATAAAGTTATTCAATTAACACTGAGTCTTATATATATATCCTTTTATATTTTGAGGAAGCAATAAAAAAACCCCAACAGCATTACATTCACTGGGGCATATTAAGAAGCTACCAAACATTAATTCTGAATATTTAAAGACTTCCTATAGGGACTTGGACATGCTGCACAAAACGCCTTTTGACTATATACAGCAATATCCTCTAATACCAAGTGTCTAGATAATCTCATCAAATAAAAGCAAGCTAATTGTAGGGTTCCATTTTATCTGTATTCCTATAATAGCATACTTCTTCATTTTTAAGCATCAAGTTGCTTTTTACTATAGACAAAAATGATCCATACTCTCAAAAATCCAAACTTATTTCTTGGACTGTTTTGGCTTAAAACCCATGACTAGCTGCACTACAAGAACAGTTATTGGTTTTTTTACTGATTAGTACTGTAACAACTTCAGTCTCAGCTCCTTAGTGCTTAATAAGATGAAAACAAAGCAGCCCCTGTAGTTAAGCGCACAAGACCCTGGGCACAATGCTCTGGTTTGTTTATTTGAGCTTTTTTTCAGGCATCCTGATCTTCTAGGTCCAGACAGTTTATTGGGAATAAGAAGAGCCCAGCAGCCTATAGGCAGCACTTGGCACGAAGCTTAGGTTGTCTGTGCCTTTTTTGAGGGGTGGGTGTTCACTAAATGCACACATGAATGTCATGAATGTCTTAGAAGTTCTAGATTCATTCCCTTATAAAGGAATAATTGTTTTTTTTTAGAAAGAAGAAACTGTATTATAAAACATATCACCATATCATTATTTTAGAATAAAATAATAATCCTATCACCAGGATATAATGATATTTCTTATTTTAGAAAGAAGCAACCATATTATAAAACATATAACAGTGGGATACTTCTGAAAGTCTGCCTGTCCTACCTTGTCCTCCTCTGGTATGGATATTATGCCAGGCAGCTCTAATGTTGGCTATAAAGCTGTGGCAAGGGAATAAGATTTTGGAATTTGTGTGGTTTGTCTATTTTTTTTAACATCACTGCCACAGTACTTACAATATAGGAAGTCAGGCAAACTCATTCAATTAAACATTTGTTAACACTCCCTTATCTTTCATATTCAGCTGTGGTAATTGCATGCCAAATGGAAGACATTAACCTGTCTGAAAATATGCTGACATATTCTTGGTTTTATGTACCTGCATCTCTACTCAAACTTGTGAGATATTCTTCTAATAATAGATTGTCTGATAAAAGTAAAATATTCTTTTTGTGTGCATATCTGCCTAATGTTGCACAAAGTCATAAACCAAAGGACTTTTGCCACCACAGGAAAACCAGTACTATGCAGCCATAGGGTAGCCATTGATTCATAGGATCAAGCACTAAAAATAATAAAACCAAATATTAGGTAGCTTAGGCTGCAACAGCACTTACTGAAGTTAGTAAATACTGCTGGAAACAATATCCATCCTGTGGAGCCTGGCCAAAGATATATGGTGAGACATTTCATGGACATCTGATCTGAGCACAAGTGAGAACACTGAAGAACTGAACTAAGAAAAAAACCTGATACAGCAGAAAAGACTAAAAAAACCTCTAAATTTCTCTCCAGGATGCTACTCAGTCAATCCTAATAACTTCCCTGAAAGCAAGCAAAGGTGTGCACCAGTTTGATTTGGCAAAACCTAAGAACTGTAACAGTAATGGCCACCTAACTCTGGAAAACTCATTTTTGTATATTACTTCCCTTTTAAGCCTTCCATGTTACAGGGAGCAGAAAGGAAACTTTAAAACAACCTAAAGTGAATTTATACAGCTTGCTGAGGAATCGTGTTTCTCAGAAACCACTGATTACACTCTCCCACTCCTGTGCTCATGTAGCCTCAGTACAAATCCTGCCCTTTCATCCTGTTCAGCTTCAATATTTTTCACATTATAAATACTTTCAGAATTTTGCCAGTAACTTTTACATTTTTCTGAAATGTCATTAGGTAACAAAAATTACTCTCAACAGGCCTTAAAATAAACATTTGAGGGTAAATGAAGTTTTCAGCTGAAAGACACTGTCTGTAGATTGGTTTTGCTGTTCTTTCCCCTGTTGTTAATAAAGCAAATTGCAAAAAAGAATTTTATTTCTCTTACTGTCTAGAGGCTTTCATTCCTATTACTCTTTTCTGTTTAAATGTTTTTTTTTATGTGAATTACAGAGCCTAACAACATGGCACTAATAACTTCCAGTAAAACTATATAACTAATACCTGGTTTGGCAATATTTAGCACTATTAATATATAGGAGAATTATTTAGTTATCTGCTTATCCTCTAAAGGGAAATTTACCTATGTCATATACTACCTGAAATACTTGACGATGTCATTGATGTATAATATTCAAGAATGTGCAGCTCTGTCTTTGTTCAACAAAGCAATTAAATGTGTGCTCAACTGAAAGCATATGTCTAAGTATTACAGTGTTTAAAATGTCTTTGGATCTGTGCTTGAGAACACACAAACTCAGTGTGTCATGAGTGTGTTGTATCAAAAGGATAGCAGTGACAGGTGGCAAAGCTCAAAGCCTTAACCTCAGGGTGTAATTTTTTGAGTAGGTGGCACTTGAGTTTTAATAAAGGCATTAGTTCAAAGAATTTTCATTCTGAATTTAATCAGCCAAATAACCCACACCCACCAGAGTCACTAATATTCCCTCCAGAAAAAAACTTGGGGGAGGGTAAAAACTAGAAAAGCCCTAATCAGAGGAATAACTTGCCCAAAGGGGAAGTTTTTTCCTTAAATTTCATTGGTGACTCCATTTCTTCATCTGCATTTCACATCTTCATTTTGTGGAGAGTATCTGGAGAATTCTTTTATGCCTGAAAGTGTCTGTCCTTTTTGTTTTTAAATCTTGCTCTACCCAGTGTAATGATGCCCTAGGTTATTAAGTTTGGCTGGCTACTTAGAGAAGTAGAAAAGCAGTGACTTTCCCTTGTTTTAAAGCTTCTTGCAAGAAGCTTTACTGGCTGTATCCTTAGATTTGTCTATGAAAGAGCACTTCCTGCCCCTTGGAATGTGTAGTCAGGGTGGCATAAGACTGGCTTCTCTTATTCACCTCTACTCTGAATTAGCTTTTACATTTTCTCATCAAATGAATTTCCACGTGTCTAAATTACATTTGTTGTCTGCCTTTGGACTTACATTTTTATTGCAAGATTACTTAAGAAATAACTATTTCTGGTACACAGTTTTTCAAATGGCATGGTTCAAATGGAGGCCAAAGAATATAGGTATAAAAATACATTCAAATGAATTTTCCTTTTCCATTTCTCCTGAATCAGCATTCCGTAGTTTCTCTGATTGATGGCAAGCATTGGAGACATGCTTGCAACTGAGCTGTTCACTGGGATTTGCTGTCTTTTCTTTTCTCCTCCTGAACAGGACTGTTTATGTAAAAATCCATAAGTGCAGTCCAAGCTGTTCTTTCTTGTCCTGCATTTGTTGGCAATTAATATTAACTCCAAAACTTGCAACTTTAGCCTTTCAAAGTCAGAGTCTGGTAGTTTTTACACAAGAGGAGGCATGTAAATAAATAGACGGATCTGCATTGTCATAAAAGGTGGTTATATATATATATATATATATATATATATATATATAATGTTGCTTGCTTAGTAAACATCATTTAGTAAAGTACATGGAGTATTTTAGGGTATTTTAATGAACTCAGGTATTTTGGTACAACAAAGTCAAAAAACATATTTTGTAGCACTTGGATGCCATAAGTTTTTCCTCTATAATTTTCCCTCAGCCTCAAACTCCTTAAGATCCCATAGTTCTCCATTCTATCAACCTTTGCTGCTGTTTTGAAATAGCAGAATAAAATAACTACTGCCCCTACTGGAAGAACATTTCAAACACCATCTGTTTTCCACCTCAGCAATCTGTCCCTGAGCACCACCAAATCATAACTTCATCATTACCATATAAGCACAGAAAGTTCACGATAAACCAGACAAGAATGATGGATGTCAATATTTGTGCTACATGTTCCAGTTCCCAGAATACCTGTAAATATTTTCTGTTCTCCATTCTTCTGCTATGTACCTTAACAACAATGTAAGAAAAATTCAATTCTTGATTTTTCTTCAGAATAGGATGTATTTTAGAAGGTTATGTACACACTAGCAATTTTAGGAGCACAAAATGGGCCTGTATTCCTTCAAATTATTGCTTTTTCTTAGTTGATATATATATCTTGCATCACACTTTATGTATTCCTGAAGAAAATGGCACCTGTTGTGCTTTTGTTCAAAAAAAAGTCTTTTGCCAAATCTAAGTCAAATCAGCAATGGAAAACCACAGTTCATGCATCTTACTATCTATGACAGTATGTTTTTTCCAAAAGACTCTTGTGGTTATTTCTTGTATGAATTAAATATTTCTTCTAGCATCACATATGTTATTAGCGTGAGTTACATTAAAAAAAAGGATCAAATAGCATTCCAGGACTGGGAAAAATTATCATAAAAACCCATCTTGCAGGCCCTGTCATTATAATTGCAATCACAGTGTGATGAAGATAGAAAGATGATGAAAGACTGCAGGTAAACATGGTACAGTTGGACAATTTTAAACAAAAGGCTTCCGCAAATAACTGTTTTGTAAATCAAAGGTTTCTTGGTTAGTCCCCTCTGTTATGGATGTGAGTCAGCAAACCTGGTCTTGCTACTGTGGATCAGGCAGCAAATTCTGCTCAAGTTCCCTGAAAGTTCCTACACAATAAATGGAATACATTCTATTTCATCCAGTTGGGAGTGTGTAAGGCTGAAATAATTTTAAGAGATTTTTAAAAAAAAATCTCTCTCTTGCCTAAACATTTAAACCTGTCATTGAAAACACTTACCATTTCTTCAGTGTTTATGGAGGTCCGGATGAGCATGGCCATGGAAATACCAGATTTTCGAGCTGCAAGGGTCTGTTTAAGGCAAATGCAAAAGTTACCAATTATACAAGTAACAACAGCTGTTGAATCTAGTGGAAGGCAAATACTACTTGATTATATTACTGGATGTAAACAAAACTGTTGAAGATACAAAACCTTTTAGTTAATGTTTGCAGCTCACAATTTTTAGGGGTTTAGTACATAATGGAAATATGCTTCCTATCATCATTACTGTTTCTTTCAGCAGTGACCAGCTGAACTGCCATTTCTAATACAAAACCTGTAATTCAGAGGTTTGTGACTCAGTTTTTTTAAACCACAGGCTGTCACTGTTTTTCTGCTTTGCCAACCAAATTAATGTGGTACAAGGATAGGCATCCTGCCCTAATTTGGAAGCTGACTGTGCCTGCAGCAACATGAGAGATCATTTTGCAGTAGTCTTATGGCTCAAGTTGTCAGTCTGGATAATTTTTTGTAACTCGCTGAGCATTTTTAAATGGTGAGTATGTATATAAAATGCTACTTAAATAAAAAGACCTCAAGAAATCTTGAAGTATTATTTTCCTTAAAGACAGTATTAATTCAATACTACTGATAGCTATACGGAGAAATATTTTGGTTGTTTGAGACAGGAAAAGAGACCAGAACTCTGTGTCAATCGGTCCTCATTTGGCTACATGATGTTATTTGTATATGGACAACTTCTGGTTTTGAAAACAATGCACTGGGTTGTAGAGATGAACTCTTTTGTGCTAGTATGGTACATGCAAAGGGACTGAAAATAATTTTAATATACAATAAACAAGGAAGTTTTATATCTCTTATTGAAACACCCCAGAAATCTAAATGGGTCCTCGAGAATTAACTAGCTAGTATAATGATCAGAAAGGACCCTGAGGGACTGAATTCTGTGTTTTACAAATAATATTTCAAATCTGAATATCACTTCTGCTATCAATAATCCTTTTGGCCTGACAGAAACAGATGAGATTTATTCCACTGTGCACAATATCAACCATAACGCTGTATATTACTGTAATGCACCTGGAGTGCTGTTTTCATTCCTTCTTTCTCTTATTCTAAATCATTCCAAATGTGTTTGTACACTTGTGCCTTATCTCTGTTCTTTTGTCATCCACTATCTGCTTTGTCATGCTTTGCTGCCCTCACAGTCTAGCAGTGTGTGGATCAATTATACCACCCACTAACCATAAGTCTGTTGTCGCCTTTGTTGTGAGGATACAGATTTTCACCTAACTGTGAAGTGGGTCTCTGTAGTCCATAATCACAGAACTATTACAGCAAAAATTTAAACGATACTTTGTATGTGACATTCTTATTTTTGTGAAATGCGTACTGGGCCGAAGTAATTTAGGCTTACATCAGCAGAGGAACTGCATCATTAGTCTCTGGATGAAAAGACAATTCCATTTTTTTTCCAATTATATAATTTTAAACACTGGTATATTTAAAATGGATTTCTATTTATTTATTTATAAGATTGTTCAATTTTAATTTTAAGTGTTCACTTTCCCTAATTCAATTTTCAATAAGTTTCCCTTGATAATAATTAAACTTGCAGACTGACACAGAATTATTAATCTTGTGAAACCAATTACAGGCTAAGAAATTATCCTTGGCTTAGTAGTATTTGATTCATCTCCTGTTACAAAGAACCTTCCCTTTTTTTTTCTCTTTTAAATTCAGCAATTTACCAACTCTATGCCATTAATTTGCTATCAGATTCTGCGTTCTCTTTTTATTACATAAATAGTTCTATTTACTTCTCTGTGACCATCCTATTTACTTCCCTGTGACCATCCTTTAATTGCATTTCTGTGAATGTGGGAAATTCCACGGGTGAGTGCTAGTGAGATTGACAGTCACAGGAAAGATTAAACAGTGTTCAGGTTTTGTTTTTTCACACTTTTTGTGTCAAAACCCAATGCTACAAGACCCACGTACCAAAGTTAAAAATGGCAAGTAAAAATGCCTTTGAATCATTAAGAGGAAAAGAAACTATTTTCATAATCAGTAAAGTTCTGGGTTTTAAAACAATATACTTTAAAAGCATCAGCTTCTTGATCCCTCTTAAAGCACAGGGTTTTTGCTTAAAGTCTTGCCAAGTACCCCTGTATATTTACCTGCCTGCACTATACCTGTTTTATAGTTTTCATGTCCCTTACACTTAGGAAGGGATTTGACCCTTCTAGGTCTCAGTTCCATTCCAAGCCATAGAGCAATGTGAACAACTAGCCATTCCAAGCAATAGAGCAATGTGAACAACTTGTCAGGACAGGAGCACAAAGGGCATAAGAACATTAACCTCAAATATAGGGCAATGACTGCTGCTGTGCTCTGTCCTCCAGCAATACCAAAGAACATGAGCCAGCAGAACTGCAGTTTCATGCTATTCCTGTAAGTCAATAAACAGATACAATTTCCTCTGAGAAAAAAAATGGGAAAGCAATTTTGACCCTGTCATGTGTCCTTCAAGCCCAGTTCTCCCAAGGGGTTCCCTTGGAATCATGGAGTTTTACTATTTTCTTCTTAATCAGAAATGTGTCTAAAATTATAGCACAGTGCCCTATATAAAATAACAAAACCTAATAGGAAACAGATAATTAGGCTGTTCTCAATAAAGTGTTTGTCATGTTGGAAGAAATTGATATCTAGAGGGATTTGTGATAAATCAGTAAATTTAAAAGTCATATGGATTAAATTTACAGGGATTTTAGTGAAAAAAAGCCCAAACCCCACAAGGATTATTTCCATTTATGTATCATTTATGTATCATATTCCATTATGTCAGAAAAAACTATCTACAAGAGAAAGCCCATAAAATGCTTCTGCTCTAAAACACTGAATTTGGTGATGATTCAACAGCATGAAGCACTGAACATACAGCAGTGTCACTTAAATATGGAATGAAGCAAGGAGGAGTGAGCATTTTGGAATGAGAAAGGGGAAAAAGCTGCCAGATTTATCTATGGCAAACAAGGTGACAGGTTATGAACATAACGAGAAAACTTCTTCCCCTACTGCCTCTCTGTTTTCAAGCAGCAACAAGAAAGAAAGGTTAATGCAGTTCATCAGCTGGGAACGTCTAGCAAGTCCAATATGTCAGAGCATCAAAAGAATATGGAGAGCAACAGGATCCTGAAGTGTTTCACACCTCTCCCTTAACAGGACACAGAACTCGTCAGCAGTTTATACTTGTGTACCCTCTCAAACTGATGTCCAGATACTACTTCCTGTCTTTCCTTAGGTAAAAATTTGACCTGCAGAGCATAAGGACTTTAAGTATTGTTGAATTATGATCATATGATAAAATTATCAAAACCAAAAAATCCTAGCAAAACCCCCAGACAAAAGAGACTGTAAAGCAGGATAAGGACTTTAAGTATTGTTAATTATGATCATATGAAAAAAATTATCAAAACCAAAAAGCCTAGCAAAACCCCCAGACAAAAGAGACTGTAAAGCAGACCATTGTCTATTAAATTTTTAATTTGTTTTGAAACTCTCTAATACAGGATTTAAAATAAATTAGTCTCCTTTATGCTCAAGGCCTTCTAGACTACCTAATAACTTGTATCTACACTGTCTAATTTATTACCTCTAAATTTGCCTTAGCAGCTTAAATAAATAAATTAATATAATCAGAAGTCGTTCTAGTAAAAGCATTTAAAAATGGTAAATGTAAGTAAAAGCAAATTGGATTCAAGCTACAATTAAATGTTAAATGACCAATTGTGTTAAGGAGGAAAAAAAGAGAAGAAGTCCTCTATCACAATGAAATAGGCAAGCTGTGTCTTGCACAGCTGAAATAGCACAGAGGAGCAAACAGGCTCATGTTCATGACTGCTGGCTTTGCTATGCAGTGCTCATTCCTCTGGTTTTACAGAGGGTTTCAGTTTTCTTCATCATCCTTCCTTTTTTTCCTTAAAGAAAAAATAAATCTACACACTGCTATCAGCAGGAAAAAAAAAAAACGTTGAAGACAAACCATTTTTCATCACTTTAGAAATGCTGATGTTATTTTTAATGTGATGTAAAAGTTACCCACTAGAGGTGAATGTGACAAAAATGTCACTGTTTACGGCATTTAAAGAAACATTTAAAAATTAAATGGGAAAAGATTTCTTTCTAAATGTGCATTTAAAACATGCACAATTTCAGAAATATTTCTTTTTGAGCAGGTATATCACTCTAGGGATGTCAACTTTATTATTTTGGAAGACAGATTTGTACCAATTCTTGGGGTGCTGGAGTGGAGGGAGTGGAAGACAAAATAACTTGAGAAGAAGTAAGGTAGTGAGGGAAATTACTTAGCCCTGTCCCACAATTTTCTGTTAAAAAGGTTGATGTCTAATACTGAAATACTCAACAGAGCTGTAGTATTGAGCCCAGAAAGAAGATTTTAAAAAGACAATTCAGCTCCACTACACAATCATTGCTAGCCATAACTGTCATCTTCTGCTTTTTCTTCATATCTATAGCACAGACACAAAAGCATGATCTCTCCAGCCTCAAAGATAATTATATATTGTTATGATTTCCATTTAGTAGACTAAAAAAAGCCCTCACAAATGTACAAATACTTACTACATTATGATTTATCTATTTAATATATGAATATTTTTATTAGGAATATAACTGAATTTGCCTATCAATGATTAAAGGAGTTAAGAAAATGGACTGCTGATAGCACAAATAATGTAAAATAGTCCAGGTATTTAGCTGACAACATAGAAAACCAGAGAATATGACATCTGCAATTTAAATGAATATCTTCTTTATATCAATCTTAAAATTACCATATTTGAATTCCAGCCTCTACAAATGTTTTTATTGTGGAGACACTTACAGAAAAAAATTTCAGTGCATTATCATTTAGCTGAAACAGGCATCTGGTGTGTTCAGTTTGACAGACTGCTTTACAACAGCAGCAAAGATTCACAAATTGTTCTTGTGTTCTTATAATCAAATAATAAAGCTAGGGAGCAATACAGTCTTGATTGATCAAAAGAAGAAATTGGCCTGATTACAGTGATTACACAGTATAAAATCGCCTTTAAATTGAATAAACAGAAGAATTTTCTAGAGTCTTCTTCGCATTCAAAATGATGACTGGCATTAACAGAAGCAAAGGCAGTACAATAGAGTTACCTTTGGCTGCGGCTGAGCAGATCACCACACCTATTTGGCCACTGTGAGTAAAAACTTCTAACCTCCACTGTAATTATTGATATTTCTCTTCCTGGTTGTTCTCACCTCATCTCAATCTCTAACTAATCCAAAAGAGAGTTACTTTTTTTTTTTTTTAAAGCAAAAAATTAAAAGTTACAGCAATTCTATCAAGAAGTGCACTGCCCTTTTTTTCCTGGCTCCACAGTAAACAGATCTGTTCATGCTCTCTCCATTGTTACTGCACTTGAACCATCACTTCTCCTTGCACTCTCTCTCTGTGCTGTACCAGATATATTCTACCAGAAGTTAATAATGACCCATGACTGCAGGAAACAGAACTGCTCCTGCAGGTGGATTTTGACTGCCTTATCCTCTCTAATGACCAAATCTAAAATAAGCAGAGACTCTCAATGCATTAGCATACAAGAACTTTTCAGTAGTTTAGGAGGAGGAGAGCATCCAAAGGAGAGCAGTGAAGGTGGTGAAAGGTCTGGAGGAGAAGCTGTGTGAGGAGCAGCTGAGGGCACTGGGTCTGTTCAGCCTGGAGGAGACTGAGGGCAGACCTCACTGCATGTACAGCTTCCTTGTGAGGGGAAGAGGAGGGGCAGGCACTGATCTCTGATCCCTGGTGACAGTGACAGGATACAAGGGAAGGACCTGAAGTTGTGCCAGGGTGGTAGTTTAGGTTGGCTATCAGGGACAGGTTCATCCTCCAGAGAGTGGATGGGTAGCAGAACAGCTGCCCGGGGCAGTGGTCACAGTATCAGTCTGATGGTCCTATGCAGGCCCAGGAGCTGGACCTGATGATCCCTGTGGGTCTCTTTCACCTCAACGTATTCTATGCTTCCATGTGGAAAATTGGATTTTTCAAAATGTGAATTCATGAAAACAAATGGGAGCTAGAGATATCATCTTAAGAAAACATACAGAATTTTGAATTTTGATAAACACTGTATTGAGATAAAATGCTGAAAGCATGAAAATAATAGAGTGAAACTGGAAATGCAGAGGGACTACAAAAATAAGGAAAAATAAAACTGATTGATACAAGAGAATTTAAAAGCAGGGAACACTTTGAACTTCTCTTTCTCTAGGTGTGTAAGACTTTCCAATACCACAGGGAAAACTTCATGCTTGAGACCTAAACTTTGAGCTCATATCATCAGAAAAGATATTTGGAATATACAGACAACTTTTTAACATAAACTTCTAGCAATTTTGGCATATGTGACACAGAGGAGAACACATTCACATAAGGCACCACTTTCCTTATGATTAAATTCTTGGTCATAAAATAATTTTTTAACTTTCCAATAGAAAGTCATAATAAAACACAACATTAATGGAATCTGTAACGGTTACTACGATCATTTCAGAACAATTACAAATATAAAAGTACTTACCATAGCCTTAAAAATCCAGACAAGATAGGAAAGAAATTATAGACAGTATTAATTTGTCAGATTCATTGCACAAGAAAGAAAATAAATTATATTTATTTTAGTCAGCATAAAAAAAGTTTAGCACTCATTTCTAACAATACTGTTTCTGTTTTTCTGAAACAGTCGTAAGTAAGCATAAGAAAGGACCATTTACATTTATTTAGATGTCTTAATGCATTCTGAGCTATACCTTTCTGTAAGCACTTCCAACAATTAAGAACAAAGCAGAGTGCCATTTAACATGCATTCAAGAATCATAGCAGGACAATAGACTATATTTGTTTAATAGAACTAATAGCAGAGTGGCTGCTGTCAAAAAGATGGTTTAAATGAATGCAGACTCTACTATGTTGTGCACTGTAACTTTTCATCAGTTTCAAAAGGAATTCTACTCTAAAATGGTATCTGTGCTTTCTCTTTTTGACTGCTCAGACAGTGTGGTGGATCACCACAGAGTAACTGAACACAGGAAGTGAGAAAACATTGAGCAATAATAGACAAAGACTGATCTTTTAACAACAAAGACAGTAGTCATTTACTTAGCCTAACAGCCAATCACTTCTTTATAGTGAGAAATTGGTTTGGGGGCTCACCATCATCAGAGACTAAAGATGTATTTTATAGAATTATGAATTCTATACTACAGGAAAAGAAAAAGAGAAATGTGAATAGCACTTGAAATTCTTTGGGGCAGAGAGGCTCTTCTTAATTTTATTTAGACTGAAAGTCAGAATAAATCTCTAAGGAACTGCCATTCTTTTCCACTGAAATTTCTTTTCTTAAATTATTCTTGTTTACAATGACTGTTAAAAATCCTGAATATCTCACCTTGTACCTAAAGTATTCATCAATCATTAAAATATTAATAGTGAAAAGGGCTGCTTTTTAAAATGAACTTTCTCTTTCAGTATCAAAATATATCAAGTGGAACAGTATCCCAAACGCTCCATAGCATCTTTGTGAAAATGAGTAGCTTTTTATTGCATGAAGTGCACATTACTTGATTACACCAGTAATACCTAAATATCCAATGAGATATTCAGACTTATCTAGTACGTTATAATAACTGCCTCATTGACTTTTACTGCCTTCAATCCATTCTCTCAAGACTCCTATTTTTCCATAAAACAATTGTTGTAAACTGTCATTCAGATGCACAATAGTAATTACAAGAAAGACCCACACAACTGGCAAATGAATCAACAGTTTCAGGAATTACTCACCACATCGCGAACAATGGGAAAAGATTTCTTTCTTCGCAGGTCTGGCATGCTGTCAATTCCGTACAGTCCACGACTGTAACATAAGAAGGCAAAGAAGAAAATAAAAACATGGAGCTTACAAGACTACATCCTTAGGAACTGCCTACAGTATCTCTATTTACAGTTAAAAATCAAACTTAGCAGTTATCAGCCAAAGGCATGCGCTCCAACTAAAAAACCAGTGTGAGTGTTTTTGGTGCTTTTTCTTCTGGCATTCAACCAAAGCAGAGTAGCTAAGAGGTTGCTTAATACCTCCTAAAACTTTTTACCATTGATTTAGAAATTACAAGAAAAGCTTTCCATTGTAAGTTCTTCTATATCTGGTAGTTGAGATGCAGCCCAACGTTACATATTAAACATCATTGATGTCAATGAATATTGTTGTATCAAATTTGATACAAAACTTAAAATATCTAGCTAAATACATAATCGCATCTCAAATGACTCTATGCAACTGTGGAAAACAGAACTTGTCACATTTTAAAATAATTCCATGGTGACCATCATTATTTTCTCTCTTGCCTGGTTTGAGCTTTTTCATTGAGAACGCAATTAAACCCCAGTTAGAGCTCACATATACTTGGAAACAACAACAAAGAGAAACTTGGAGTCACTTCAAAGAATAAAAGGTTGACACACCAACAGAATTTAAAAGAATACATATTGATCTGGATAACAACTTGGCTTCACTCCCTCTGACTATTCCAAACAATTAACACAGGTATCTTCCTGAACTTTTTCCCACAGAGGGTTTTGGAAAGATCATCTCTATATACCTTGTCAGTTCTAATTCAGAGATACTTGGAAGTTCACAGAGAAGCTGGGACATCAGATTTTTCAAGACCCAACATTTTCCTCTGCCTCAAATACCCTTTTCAGTTCTTATATTTCTATCTCTGTGTATATAAAAACTGCATTCACTACAAAGACTTTATCACCTAAAATCCCTAAGTTTATTTACACCTCTTACAATTATGATGTGAAAAGAGATATAACCAAAATTAGTGAAGAATTTTTCAGTTCCTTGTGATGCACTCACACTATTCTCTAAGAAAGGGAAAAGAATTGATTTTCTGTTTATGCAACTCCTTTATATTTTCCCACAACCATTTTCCTGTGTCAGGTTGTGATACTAGAATTTTTTTCAATAACATAAAGATCAAAGTAGACCCAAATTGCAGCTTCCAGACATACTTACAAACCCAGCAAAAGTGTGATAGAAATAAAATAACATTTCTGAGGTTGTGAAAAGTAAATGTACAGAGACCAAGAAATAAAATCAGGGCTTTTTACTACTCAGGAGCAGTTCCATCAGCAGTAAATAAAACTTATCGTGTATAAGGCATTCTTATGTTCACATAGAGGCAATATCTGTCAAAGGATTTCCATTTATTATTCTGTTCTATACCATAAAAATATGACTAAAATAGAGGTTCTTACTAAACTCATTTTAGTCATCATTAAGAAATAACAGAGCAAGGGAAAAATTTTCATGTTAATGTAGGCTATACATTGAATTCTCTATTCCCCTCCCTACTTCCAATTATAACCCAACAATAACTTGACATAGAAGATGATGAAGTGGAATCATAATAATTTGATAAAAGTTATCATTAAAGGCAAGGAAAAAAACCTGTTATATTGACTATTTTTTGGTGCTTCTGGAAATATTCTGCCTAACAGTAATCTATTTGAATTTGTCAGAGAATTCAAGAAAAATAAATTTGATTTTCCATAGAGACAATACCACTGAAGGAAAGGAGTAATCGTCTGCATGCAGCACCATCTGTGTATCGTTAGTGAATTTCAGAACGGATTAGGCCATGTGGTAAAATTATCAGTCTCTGACTGCTCATTAGGAAGCAGTAAATTAATACAAGAGCAAGTCTCTGGAAAAAGTAAAACAGTACTACCCAGGATCCATACACATGGTGAGAACTCCAGCTGACCTACTTTTGCATCTTAAAAATATGGAAATAAGGAGCTCTAAAGTGCCTCATCTTCAAGAAAGTGAAGAAAAGTAAAATGAAGATGTCATATTGGTATGGAACAACCAGGAAAGATGGTGCTTCTGCCTTTTAGTAGAGGAGTTGCATGAGAAGCCCCAGAAATGCTGTTTTTGGTCTTTGCCTTTATGTTCTTGCCTTGGGCTACTCTCTCATTTCATGCAACCAAGAGAAGATCATTGCAGAGAATGGAGAGTTGCAGTCCCTGCCATGGACTTGGGGGTGCTGGTGCATGAGGTGGGGTCACAGCATTGTGCTATGACAGAGAGGGAAGAGCAAGAAAGAAGAGAGTCAGCTGGGGTACTTTTGCATAGATAAAGCATGGTAACAATTGTTGTGAGGGAAGCAATCTCCTCCCTCACCTCAAATGGCAACACCTTCAGAGAGTAAGAGGCAGGAGTCAGAGCTAACTGCAGTCAGTTGTGCTGGCAGTAAAAAGACTAAGGAATCCTAGAAATTAGCATTAGTTTTTGCACGAAGGAGTAGAGTGGGAGGTGTGATTAAAACAGAGCCACAAATGTCTTTGAAATGATAGCATTCTCAGCCTGAATGAGAAGTTACATGAAAATTGCATAACTGTTTTTAAGGAGGCCTAGCGAAACAGAGGCTTGAATAAAGCTACTGAAGACAGCAAAGCAAGGCAAGGACAGGTCTAAACTTTATCAGCAAAAGAAGTAAGGTTTCATCTAAAAACATGAGCTATTATTGAGCTACTGTCAGCCATTTCAGGTGGTCCTATACAGTGGTTACAGAATGTCTGCACAAGGGATTGACACAGCTTATTCTCAGACAATTCAATATTTGAATTTATTCACCTGTGAATAGAAGAGAGGGCATAAAAAGAGCAGCTTCAGTCTGTATAGTCCTTGTCTGTGGCAAAAATTCTTCTTACACCTATGAGATTTCTTTTTGTGTGAAACCCATAAAAATTAGGAACTCTACATTACTTTTTAAAGGTCTACACCTATTAAGAAACTGTAATTAAGCAACTGGTTAGGGAAAGTAGTACATACAGCAAAACAGTATGGTCATGTGCAGCTTCCTACAGGCACAAATACTTGACTATCAGCACCTGCATTCTGAGTCTGCTTACAAAATTCTGCCCTAAACTACACAATAACCAGGTATTAAACTGTTTCTCGTCTGTTTTGCATTTGGTGACTAATCCTGCATAATGTCACACGTGTCCTCACACTCTTACAGCAGCTCTGGAGGTTCTAGGAGCTGCAAAGGGCAGGAATAAACTTTGAGGTATGACTAACTATATGGAAACTACCTACATCACTTAAGAGCTGTAGATCACTTATAAATTTGTTTAAAGTTTACCAATAAGTACAAATGTTACCCTAAGTATACCTTCCATAGAAGCAACTGCATAATATTAAGCAAACTAATGTCATAGCTACCTTTTAGCGACACCCACCTCCCTCAAAATAGGAATCCAACCCAGAAAAACTTCATAGTGTCAATTGCATAGCATTTCAGGATAAAAGATTGAAGATGAATGATTAATTTAATCTCATCCCCTTGTCTTTGTAATAAACTGTAATTATTGTAAAAAAGTACTTACAGAGTGCACCAGCAAGAGGATATACCCCTTTTAGTTAGGTAACTGATAAATTTTACAAAAGGCTTTTATTTCTTTGCCTTTCCAGGTTGAATAAAAAGAAAGTATTCAAAATAGGAAGGAATCCCTTGAACTTGATGCAAGATAACTTAATTTGGAGACAACAAAACAAAATGTACAGGTTTCTTCCATATTCACTCTCAGCCACTGCAAGATCTTTTCCCTTGACTTTTTAATTTCAAGTACTAGAGTGATATTATATGGTTAGAATTGCAGTACTATACATTTACCAGGACGAAGACAAAATTAGGCTACATTTTTAAAGGACACTTATTTTATATGCAAAGAGGCAAAATTTCTTATCTAACTGACCTCACTATTGGAACTGTTGTATTAATTTCTCAAAAAAACTAATTAAAAAAAAAGGGGAAGACATACATAATGAAACTATCTTCCTTTTAAAACAATACAGTTTCTTAAAACAGAAAGCTTAGGAAAAGTACTATAACGCTGTAAGAATAATTTGCAGATACAAGTAACAAAATTCTCAATTATCTTTTTACTTACCCAGCAAATGCTTGGACTGCATAAAGCTTGGAAGCATCCAAGGAACTTGCACTTACCAACCGAGCCTTTAGTAGAGATCAAAAAAAGCACAGTTACTTGGATGCTTTTAGTAAGTTTTGGACAGAATTTAACTGCATCAACATGTAAGACATATGAAAATGTTTAGCAGGGTCAGCTCCAGGCCAAAGCTAGACTAACTGTTCCTTTGGGAAACATTTTGATAGCATCCAGCATTTAGTGACACACAGTGGAAGAACCCATGGGAAGGTAAGGTATTGCTTCCCAAATACTGTTGCCCTTTAAATCCTATAGTGAATGCAGGGTAGGTGATAATTAGAGGCAAAAATCAGATATCATGTTTGACAGTAGCAGACCCCTGTGTTGGCAGTTATGGTAAGCACAACAGTGAGGGTTACCCTGTATATAAATGCAACACATTTGCAATACAAACAAAGGAGAACAAAAGAGTGGAAAGCTGGGAAAAACCATGCATATCTGACAACTAAAATGATGGAACAAAACAGGTCAAATAAGTCACAAACAAACATCAACAAAATACATGATCCCTATAGCAAATAGGTGATGTTAAACCTTTTCATCCACAGAACCGCTATCTGAAAGAGAATTAGGAAGAAGGGGAATATAGGTTAGAAAAACCAGTCTCCAAAAAAAATCTCATGCTTTAAAATCGGTCAGTGTTTTAATCTGTTAATGTAGACCAGAATCCAAATAATACCTGTGCTTAGCTGTATAATTTTGGCAAGATCACTGTCACTACATTTTAAACAAACAAAAATATATTCTTGGTACATACGAAGCCCTGCCACTTATGAAGGACTGTGTGGACAGCATATATTTCACATACTATACCCCATCTCCATGGCATTTTTAATTTTATTGCTTTTTTAAAAACGTATTTTTAATAATAATGAATATCTATTTAATATAGTTGCAGTGTTCAAATAAATAATTCTCTATTTTCAAGGAAAAGGAAAGTGTTTCTAAGGATATAAACACTACACTCCCCACCCCAGCTCCTGAACTGTAACTATTCTATCACAGCTACCCACAAAATGACAGAAATTACTCCCCAAATGCCAACAGAACTACAATTGTGAAAGTATAAGTTGTTTCATATATATCCATCTATATCTTATTCTAAATTGCTTAATGCAAGAGCACAATATGAAAATTTACAATCAGACAGAAAATACTGGCTGTCAGAAAAAGCTTCCCTCATTTTATTGTCTTGTCACATTTGCACTTTATAGTACAGTGCATACACGAAACAGCATTGTTTTAATTGTCACCTTACTGATCTTCCCACTTCTCCAAAGGGAGTGCTCAAGGACCCTTTAAATTATTTGGATATTCTCGAGAGGTTCAGAGATATCTCAGGTTATGAACATCACAAAATAACAATTTACACCTTAAACATGTGCCACATTTAATTTTTAAATCAGTTTCTATACAGAAAAAATCACATTCAAACACATAAATCCAAATATATTGGCAACTGTAAAGCTGCATAGTGTACAGCAGTGACAATCAGGGAACTAAAAGACTCTATTCTGCCACTAATTTTAGAGGCAGTTTACATGATCAAAGCATTTGACTGACTAGATTTATGAAAATGAGCTTACTCTTTAAATATTCTATTTTAAAAAATTTATTTGTGAAATGTATTTGTCTCACAACACCAGATAGTACTGGCTACTCTTTCAAGTATATAAAGAATATTTGGACAGCCATAAAATCTAACTTCCCCACTCCAAAATTATTACAGCACTTCACAAGCAGGGTGAGAGCAGAACCAGGAGGAAATAGGTAACTGAAAGCTGGGCTGGCCAGGGAAACAGGATGGGGTGTGCTTTTGTGAGGCTTAAAGAAAAGAGGAGTTAAACCCAGAGGGCTGGAGCAGCAAATGGACATCAGTGAGAGGAAAGGCATGACAGTATGTAGCAACAGGGTAGGAGAGACAGAGGCATCTGTTCTCTAACTTGTAAAAAAGGGAGAGTCCAAAACACAAAGAAAAATCTGGGGACCAAGGGAAGTTTTAAGCAAGACACTACTTGTAATTTAAGAAGCCTCACCACCACCAATTTTTTCATACAATCTGCACCTTCTTTTAGAATAGCTCATCATAGCAAAATTGGTAATACTGATGTATAAAGGCACAGAACAAATCTCAGTATTATTTATGTGGAATGCAATTCTAAATAGTTTGCAGATACTTTGCTATCAGATGCATACAGAATCACATGAACTATTTGTTTAATTCACTTTTTTATAAACGTACATAAAAAAATGTTGAGACTTGTCTTCTACATAAAATGGATCTTTTCAGAGCCTGAGAGATACATAAAGTTTTCTTTACGTCTCTTGGTTTCAGCCAGCTTAATCTAATTTCACTACATTTCCTTTACTGGAACCTAATTTTACCTAAATTTAGTGAGGAGAGTGACAACCAAAATTAGGAAGGAGGAAAGGTGTGGTTTTGGTTTAACTTGCTTTTCTTTGCAGTTGCTACATGTAAAGAAAAATGCACCCATCTAATGGTCTCTTTTCTCAGTAGAAACTGCATAAAGCGAACAAGTGACGCAAATTTCTCAAAAAAGAAATCTTAAGAACATCTCTTCTTTGTAACAAATGAATGCATCTTCAGAGACAAAATTAGTTTGAAAACTTCATTGTTTACTGCTTCTTCTGAACTCACCATGAGTGAAATAATCTGAACTGTGGAAGTGTTCTCTGCATGTATGAGAGCACCAAATCAGGAAGTGTACAGTCACCAAGCAATTCACTTTAGTAGTCTTTAGGCTACCAGAATAGACAGCAACATTCGTTGATGTAGATAAGAAATGAACTGTGATTATGTAAGAGACCACTGAATGTATTTTCAAATCAGGGATTCAAGGCTAGACATCTCAGATTATACTGCTGAATGACAGTGATTTACTTAAAAGAGCTTATCTTCATGTAACTCACTTGTGTCATCCACACATTCAAAATACTAACCTAAAAAAGTAATGAGTGCACTTAGGAGCAGTAGAAACACTGGTTCTTATAGCTAACCCTTCTTACTTTAATTAGTTGTTTCTCCTTACATTTTAATTGAGAATTCATTACATTATGAAATGCCAGTAATAGCTATGCCTTTATACCACAGGCCATTTTAGATTAGAGCAAGGTATTTTTTACTAGGATTATAGGAAAAATTCTTTTGCTCCTTAATTGTTGCTATTTCAGCTCAGTGCAGTCACACTGATATTTACAAACCTGTGCAGCAGAATGATGAAGAGCAGGGTGGTCCTCTATCTGCATACTACTGAAAATTATTTTTACTAATGTCAAATTTTGAAGGCAAAAGGAAAATGCTCACAAGCCCTTTTTATTTTTTAAAGCAGTCAATTACATTTAATTAGATAACCAAGCAGGAAATTAGATAAAATTTGTCTATAAGTTTCCTTTAATAAGTTCCAGATATTAAAAAGCTGTATAATTCTCAGCATAGTCACTAAATCTTGGCTTCTGTTGAAAGTGGTTTACTTATGGGGATGGCTGGGGAATGAAGTGAAAGGGGCTTGTAATTTTTTCAGTACCCTCAAATAAACCCCCTGGTTGTTTTCTGTCCACCTGCCAGTTTAAATATAGGCTAAGTAAATTTCCAACAAGTGTTTATTAATACTGCATAATTGCTATTCAATCTTGGAATGAAAATTAATAGACCTGAGAAAAGTTTAACTTTACATATTTATCAACTGTTTTCAGTTTTCAGTCATTTATTCATTCTATTAGTAATGTTGTCACCTGTAACTTCTCACACAAAATAGAAATTAATCATACAAGACAACCAGTTTCTATACCAAATTTTCTGAGGAAAAAACAAATCTATAAAGGATGTTGAAAAGGCAGAGTTTTCCAGCATGAAAGGTATATTAGTAATGAAGATGTGGAAGTCGGGACAGACCTTTGCTTTTGTAGCTTGTGACACCATCAGAAACACAACTGCCTCTATCAATCAACAGAGATATTTACATCAAAGAGGTTCAGGTGATTCTGCTCCCCAGTCATAACCCTCCTTCAAATGTCTTCTGTCATTATTTCACTTCTGCACTTTTCCGAGCAGCAGAACAATGTCCCAATACACTTCCCTTTCTTTAATGACTGCAAAAATTCAATTCTCCACCCTGTGCCATAGCCCAAGAACTGTAATGAGGTTCTAAAAATCTAAACTGTTAGGAAACCCTAAGATCAAAATTAATCAAAACATTGATTCTCCACTTTTGTAAGTGTGCATTATTGCACAACACCAAATAGGAAAAATAATTAAAGTTCATTATTCTCTCAAAGTACCATTTTAATATTTAATTCTGGAAAATGGCTGAAAGAATGTCAAACTGACTGATAATTACGTTGTTCCTGCAAGCAAAGCCTTCGGACAAAATACTTGCTGGAATTAGATAACAATACAGCTGTTCCATGAAAATAACATGTATAAAGTACCCACAGTCAGAAGTAGTTTCAAGTCTAAGATGGACAATTTTAATTAGCATCTATTGCCAAGAAAGGGAAATAACAGAGGAAAACCAGGTTTGAATAGATGCAGGACATTAAAGAAGTAGATTGGCTAAAACAATGACACAAATTAAGCCATGCTAAAATAATAAATGCTGCACCCAGAAGCTATTATTGACACTAGAGAACAGAACATTTCACTGTGTAAGCCCAGAGGATGTTGTATTGCTGAAGCTTATTCTATGGAGATTGCATATAACGCTTGAAAGATAATATTAAAGCTAGCACATCATAAGAGATGAGTGATGCTTGTCTGACAAAGAGAAGGTCAAACTTGAATAAAGCTTGGTTGACAGGAGAAATAGAAGAATTGCTGCTAGCACTTTACTAGCAGTGATGTAGAAAAATTACTAGCGGATACGTGGAGAGTCAAAACAGGAGGTCAGTTTGGTGAAGATGAAAACTGCATTTGTGTCTCTATTAATAAAGTGGTCTGCAAATCTGAAACAAAAGGACGTGCTTTAAAAACATCTCTGGTGTTTAGAAATTGAGTCCCATTAGACTTCTAATGGCTTTGTCTTCTATTGTTTTTCAACAGCTAGTAGACACTTTTACCAGATTCTAGAACTTATCTCTAAAGCAGTAAGTTATAGACTGTCATGAGGACTGTTTGATTACAGACTGCGGTGAGCTCAAAAAACTACCATTCTCTTGAAGGCTGGGCTCTCTTGACAATCTCTGCCTTGTTAGAGTGATGGCAGGAAGTAAAACTCAGCATGCATTTTAAGCACTCTCTTCTCACCACAGAAAGCACTGAAAAGATAAGGCATATTTATCTTTTGATAAGGTGAAAAGGCATATTTTACCTCCCTCAATACATGTGATAACATTACATGCAACCAAGTAATTAATTATTTGCTGTGAAAACAAATGGATAATTGATTATTGCAAATATTTCTGCATCACAAAGCTAACAATGCCCCGAAGTGTTTGACTTGAATAACTATATCATGCTCTGAGTTGCAGGCTGAAGTCCAATCAGATTTTTCAAAGAAATCCAAGAAAACAGGCCCTTGGTTGGAGAACAAATGTGAGA